GTCATTTGTCGAAAGCTATTGTTCTCTATTTGACCTAATCATTTTCGATGAATTTTAAATTAAATAGTAATTTCGGTGAGAAAAATCGAACCTTTCCCATGCAGGATTCGAACCTACCCTTACAACCTGGTAGGCCGTAGCCTTAACCACTGGGCCATCGGATTGTATGTCAACAACAGCCTTAATATATACGTCATCCCGGTAGCCCAGTGGTTAAGGCTACGGCCTACCAGGTTGTAAGGGTAGGTTCGAATCCTGCATGGGAAAGGTTCGATTTTTCTCACCGAAATTACTATTTAATTTAAAATTCATCGAAAATGATTAGGTCAAATAGAGAACAATAGCTTTCGACAAATGACTTTGTGGTCTAGTGGTGAAGACGTTCGTCTCTCAATCCGAGGACAAACGTTCAACTCCTGGCAATGCAACAAAATTAGCCTGAAAAATTTCGATGTGATTTGGAATGTTTAAAACAGTTAAAAGACTTCTCGGCCTTTCCGAAAGACTGTAAATTGAAAAAAATTTGAAATAAAAAAACACAAAAAGAATTATTGCGTTCAAAAGTACCTGAAAATTGAAAGAAACGCACAAGTAAAATAAGTTTTAAAAACACATGTCTTCTAAAAAGCCTGAAAATGAAGAAAGTCAGACGGAAAAAAATTAAAAATTTCCCGCTTTTAAAAAACTCATGTTTACTTACCTTCATTTTTTTTTCACGAAAATTTGACAGGGTGATTTTCTCGAGACTGAAAAAATTTAATTTTTTTCACTTTTTTGAAATTCTCTTAGATTTTTTTTTCGACGCGAAAGTATTTTGTCTTGGGCTACCTGTGTCAAGCCAGACACAGGTAGCCCAAGACAGACACAGGTAGCCCAAGACAAAATACTTTCGCATCAAAAAAAATCTAAGAGAATTTCAAAAAAGTGAAAAAAATTAAATTTTTTCAGTCTCGAGAAAATCACCCTGTCAAATTTTCGTGAAAAAAAATTAAGTTAAGTAAACATGAGTTTTTTAAAAGCGGGAAATTGTTAATTTTTTTCCGTCGGATTTTCAGGCTTTTTACAAGACATGTGTTTTTAAAACTTATTTTACTTGTGCGTTTCTTTCAATTTTCAGGTACTTTTGAACGCAATAATTCTTTTTGTGTTTTTTTATTTCAAATTTTTTTCAATTTACAGTCTTTTGGAAAGGCCGAGAAGTCTTTTAACTGTTTTAAACATTCCAAATCACACCGAAATTATTCAGGCTAATTTTGTTTCATTGCCGGGAGTTGAAACGTTTGTCCTCGGATTGAGAGACGAACGTCTTAACCACTAGACCACCGCATCATTTGTCGAAAGCTATTGTTCTCTATTTGACCTAATCCTTTTCGATGAAGTTTAAATTAAAGAATAATTTCGGTGGGAAAAATCGAACCTTTCCAATGCAGGATTCGAACCTAAACTTACAACCTGGTAGGCCGGAGCCTAAACCACTGGGCCACAGCATCGTTTATTAAAAGCTCTTGTTAAAGATTCGACTTAATACTATTCGCAGAATTTTAAATTAACAAGACGCCTGATCTGGCGTTAACTCCGGCGCACGTGCCAGTCTTTAATATAGAGCTCCTGAACATAAACAATACAGTTCATATTCGCATTTAGATGCCTTGCGAGTTGCGAACCTATAAATGTTCGATTGCGAAATTTAGAAGCACATCGTACTTTAAAAAGTGTAGAAGTTCAATTGTTCAAAAATGTAAATAAACCGCATGATACATTCGCTTTGTCTTACACTTTGCTTTTGGAATAGGCGCTTATACAGTTATATTAAATCTTCAATCCTGTGCAAACTACGACGTGTCAACGCGCCCATACACGACTACATCATCTTATTAAACGGCGAAATAGCAGCGATATTATTAAAATAGGAACAGAATCTACATGTATTAAATATATTCTTACCCCAATTCAATCTAAACTTAATCGAACAGCATGAAAACAACGGTTTATTTGTTCCTCTTGGAGGAATTGCCGTATCATGCGAGCGAAATCGAATCGCGCATCGGAAAATTAGCCAAAGCTGTACACCACAACTCTTAGAAGATAAGACTGGGACGTAGATAAATACGGTTACATACACATTTCAAATACTAGAATGGTTCGCGCCATTTCAGACTTGCGACGACGAAAAATAATAAAAAAAAACCAATAACAAAACAAAACCGAGGCGAATTTTCAACTCCGTCGCTGACGCCGGAGTAATAACAACTTAGGTGGTAAAAATTGCACTTCTCCCTTGCAGGACTCGAACCTACGCTCACAACCTGGTAGGGCGGTAGCCTTAACCACTAGGCCACCGCATCCTGTGTTGATACTTCCTATAAAATAATATATTTCAATACTTGAAGACAAAATTGACGACTTTTTCAATGTTCCATAAAGCAACCAAATATGCTCAAAAATGAAAGATATTAGTTTTAGGAAGCCATTTTTAGCATTTTAAGGCACTTTTTCAACAGTTGAAAAAATCGTCAAAATTAACCAAAATGGTAAGGGGTAAGCCTTACCATTTTAGTCAATTTTGACGACTTTTTCAACTGTTCAAAAACTGTCTCAAAATGCTCTAAAATGAAAGATATTAGTCTTAGGAAGCCATTTTTAGCATTTTAAGACAGTTTTTGAAAAGTTCAAAAAGTCGTCAAAATTGACCAAAATGGTAAGGGGTAAGCCTTACCATTTTGGTCAGTTTTGACGATTTTTCAATGTTCCAAAACCCAACGAAATATGCTCTAAAATGAAAGATAGTAGTCTTAGGAAGCCATTTTTAGCATTTTAAGACAGTTTTTGAACCGTTGAAAAAGTTGTCAAAATTGACCAAAATGGTAAGGGGTAAGCCTTACCATTTTGCTCAATTTTGACGACTTTTTCAACTGTTCAAAAACTGTCTCAAAATGCTCTAAAATGAAAGATATTAGTCTTAGGAAGCCATTTTTAGCATTTTAAGACAGTTTTTGAAAAGTTCAAAAAGTCGTCAAAATTGACCAAAATGGTAAGGGGTAAGCCTTACCATTTTGGTCAGTTTTGACGATTTTTCAATGTTCCAAAACCCAACGAAATATGCTCTAAAATGAAAGATAGTTGTCTTAGGAAGCTATTTTTAGCATTTTAAGACAGTTTTTGAACCGTTGAAAAAGTTGTCAAAATTGACCAAAATGGTAAGGGGTAAGCCTTACCATTTTGCTCAATTTTGACGACTTTTTCAACTGTTCAAAACTGTCTCAAAATGCTCTAAAATGAAAGATATTAGTCTTAGGAAGCCATTTTTAACATTTTAAGACAGTTTTTGAACAGTTGAAAAAGTCGTCAAAATTGACCAAAATGGCAATGGGTAAGCCTTACTATTTTGCTCAATTTTGACGATTTTTCAATCGCCAAAACCAACCAAATATGCTCTAAAATTAAAGATATTAGACTTAGTAAGCTATTTTTTGTATTTTAAGACACCTTTTGAACAGTTGAAAAAGTCGTCAAAATTGACCAAAATGGCAAGGGGTAAGCCTTACTATTTTGCTCAATTTGGACGATTTTTCAATGTTCCGAAAAGCAACCAAATATGCTCTAAAATGAAAGATATTAGTCTTAGTAAGCCATTTATAGTATTTAAAGACAGTTTTTGAACAATTGAAAAAGTCGTCAAAATCGAGCAAAATGGTAAGGGGTAAGCCTTACCATTTTGGTGAATTTTGGCGATTTTTCAATGTTCTAAAAACCAACCAAATATGCTCTAAAATGAAAGATATTAGTCTTAGTAAGCCATTTTTAGCATTTTAAGACAGTTTTTGAACCGTTGAAAAAGTTGTCAAAATTGACAAAAATGGTAAGGGGTAAGCCTTACCATTTTGGTCAATTATGACGATTTTTCAATGTTCCAAAAACCAACCAAATATGCTCTAAAATGAAAGATAGTAGTTTTAGGAAGCCATATTTAGCATTTTAAGACAGTGTTGAACGGTTGAAAAAGTCGTCAAAATTGAATAAAATGGTAAGGGGTAAGCCTTACCATTTTGGTCAATTTTGACAACTTTTTGAACTGTTTAAAAACTGTCTTAAAATGCTAAAAATGGCTTCCTAAGACTAATATCTTTCATTTTAGAGCGTATTTGGTTGGTTTTTGGAACATTGAAAAATCGTCAAAATTGACCAAAATGGTAACGTTTACCCCTTACAAATTTGGTCAATTTTGACGACTTTTTCAACTGTTCAAAAAGTGTCTTAAAATGCTAAAAATGGCTTCCTAAGACTAATATCGTTCATTTTAGAGCATATTTCATTAGCTTTTGGAACATTGAAAAATCGTCAAAATTGACCAAAATGGTAACGTTTACCCCTTACAAATTTGGTCAATTTTGACGACTTTTTCAGCTGTTCAAAAAGTGTCTTAAAATGCTAAAAATGGCTTCCTAAGACTAATATCGTTCATTTTAGAGCATATTTCGTTGGATTTTGGAACATTGAAAAATCGTCAAAATTGACCAAAATGGTAAAGCTTACCCCTTACAAATTTGGTCAATTTTGACGACGTTTTCAACAGTTCAAAAACTGTCTTAAAATGCTAAAAATGGTTTCGTATGATTACTATCTTTCATTTTAGAGCATATTTCGTTGGCTTTTGGAACATTGAAAAATCGTCAAAATTGACCAAAATGGTAAGGCTTACCCCTTACTACCATTTTGGTCAATTTTGAAGCGGGAAATTTTTTAATTTCTTTAAAGTTTTTGTGGGACATATTTTAATTTTCAGTCTTTTGAGGAGACACATGTTTGTAAGTTTTTTTGACTTGCAATTTTTGTCAATTTTCAAGTAACTTTTGAAGCGAAAATGGTTCAAATGTTTCTCAATTTTTTCTACTTCCAATTTCTTTCAAATTTACAGTCTTCCTGAAGACCGAGAGTCCTAACTTTTTTAAGCTTACAAATCCACCGAAATTTTTAAGGCTAATTTTTTTTTGCATTGGCAGGACTCGAACGTATGTCCTAGGATTGGGAGACCAAGGTCTTAACCACTAGACAACCGCGTCATTTGTCGAAAGCCAATTGTTCTTTATTTGACCTAACCCTTTTCAAAAAAGTTTAATAAACTGCTTTAACCAGTAGACCACACGAACCTGCGGTGAAAGGCTACACTTTTTTATATTATTTAATACCTTTTTGGTAGACTCTCAAACGAAATAACAATTTAAATAGGTTCAATTTAATGTTAATGATTGATTTTCTCGTCTAAAACGCGCACAACCTTAAAGCATGCCTGTGCCTTAGAGCACTATCTATACATAGGACAAGCATGCTATAGAATTCCATAAGTTTTCATTTCCATAAAAAATCCATTTCACTTCCTTTATATCAAAATTTCCATAAAATTTCCATCAAAGTGGAAACCCTGGCTATGTAGTAATAGCTAATGAAAGTTCGTTATAGGAAATTATAATATAAGTATGATATAACGAGCAATTTGATTGGCTACCGCGCGTGCATTGTGAGGCCATAATGCACGCTTCTGGCTTTTGAAATTTTTGTTGCTAAGCAACATCTTAAATAACATGTAAGGAGAATTTCATTATTGATCAAATAAATAAATTTTGTTGTTGCCCTATAATTTCTTCTTATATTATAAAAGAATTAAAAAAGCTCGTCGCGTGCCTTTATGGTGTAATAATGCACTCGGGGAAATGTTGGAAGAATACTCGAGAAGCTTGTAAAACACTCGGCTACGCCTCGTGTTTTACAAGCTTCTCTCGTATTCTCCCAACATTCCCCCATCGTGCATTATTACACCATAAAGGCACGCGACTCGTTTTTTAATTCTTAATTAGAATAACATTGACGTCACTGAGCATGATAAGTTAAAAGTATTCACAGACGTAATTTCTCGTTAATAGTAATCCGCAATACGTCTGTGCGCAGGCTAAAAAAGAAACAATTCAACCAAATATGCTCAGAAACCAAAGAGCATGTTATTAGCACATTTTGAGACGATTTTTTTTCAATTTTTCTAAAACAAACCAAATATGCTCAGAAACGAAAGAAATTTTTCTTAGTAAATGTTTGAAGCCATTTTCAGCATATTAGCACATTTTTTGAAAATTTTCAAAGGTTGTCAATTTTGGCCAAAATAGTAAGGGGTACCCCTTTACCATGCCGAAGTTGACGAATTTCAAACATTTTCCAAAAAACAACCAAAAAACGAAAGAAATTCGTCTTAGTAAATATTTGAAGCCATTTTTAGCATATTACGAATTTTTGGAAAATTTTCGAAAATCGTCAATTTTGGCCGACATTTTTTGACAGTAGTTTACAGTCTTACTTAAGGCCGGAGAGGCTTTTATTTTAAACTTAAAATAATTTTTTTCTAGGAAATATCTTTAAAAGAAATTTTTCAGGCTAATTTCTTTTGGTTTTTCCAGGACTTGAAACGTTTTTCCTGGGTTTAAAAGACCTACGTCTTAATAGAAATATATTGATCCAGGAATGAAACACAACACAACACTACAGATATTGTTAACAAAATTTGTGTTAGATAAAGTTACATTCGTAATTTCTGACCTTATTCCGGATTCATTGAATCGGTAAACACCAAATGATTCATTCTCATATGAAAGATTTCCTTAATCTGCGTTGTTTATCGTTCACTTTTCCAGGAAGTAAGAGTTGATGTCGCTTGATGATTTGTAATGCTCCTCTTGGGTTCCCTGTACCGTTAAAAAATAAGTATAGGGAATCTATTTTATCGAATATAATTTCCATAGCAGTTCATACAACATCCCAAAAAGGCTTGTTCACACTCGCTATAGACCTTTCTCAGAATGATGTCAAGCCGGAATACGCTGATGTTACACGAAGTTTGATTGGTTCCGAAAAATTAACGAGCCAATCAAACTTCGGCTAACATCAGGACCGCCGCTCATTCCGAAAAATTAACAAGCCAATCAAACTTCGGCTAACATCAGGACCGCCGCTCATTCCGAAAAATTAACGAGCCAATCAAACTTCGGCTAACATCAGGACCGCCGCTCATTCCGAAAAATTAACGAGCCAATCAAACTTCGGCAAACATCAGGACCTCATTCCGAAAAATTAACGAGCCAATCAAACTTCGGCTAACATCAGGACCTCATCAGCGATGTTCCACTTAACTCGGCTTTCCCCCATCTTTCACATCATGAAAATATTCTTACCATTGTACTTAATATTGCACTTATAAACATTCATCGTTACTATACAGTATAATATCAGTGGATAGAAGCGAGGAGAGTTTTGGAACAGCAATTACACAAAACATACCAAGTTGAAGTTCAATGTATATAGCCAGGGCGATCGCTTCATTTGGCAGATCTTTCAGTGGGATCATTGACGTAGCCTAGAAACAGTGAAAAGGAATTAAAATGTCGAATATCGCGGAATAGAAACTGTAGCAGTTGTAGCAATCGATGCCCAGGTTTTTATTCAATGATATTTTTCAGGCCCCATTTTTCACTCCCCCCGGACCCACCGCCAATAATTTTCAAAGTGCATGCAATTCTTATTTCGGGCTATTTATATATGGCCCTAATTACAACGACTAAAGACACCTTATTTAATTCTAATTTTAACCCCAAACGTATGCTATAGTGTCGTCTGTTGGTAGGGTTTAAACCTCTATGTGAAATTTCTATTGTTGGAAGAATATGGGCTGTGCAAGAAAAAACATACTCCGAAAATGACATCGTGTAAACTCGAGATATGAGCTATATAGACAACAAGACAAAATTTAAGATGATATTTTGAAAAATTCTTGTCTTGTCGTGTATATTTCAATAATTAAAGTATAGCTCAATAATACAGTTGATCAACAATTTAGCGTAACTGCTATTAATTTGTGTAATAAAGACCATTTACCATGTTATTTTTCGAAGTATGTTTTTCTTGTATTTTATCAAATTAATCGTCTGCTGTTAAGCAATCTGCTGTGAATAGATAACTTAAGGATAACGTACCTGATAAAGACACTTCTTTGCTTTATCAAACTCTTCGCGCAAGCAATGAGCAACAGCAAGATTTACTAAGAACATCGTCTTCCCCTCGGTCATGTTTTGAGGAAACTGACTGATTGTAGAGCCTGTATATGAATTATGACAGAGATTGTTCAGTGGATTTAAGTTATGTACGAGGACGAAAAGTTAACCAGGCCTTTTTTGGTGGTACAAGCACCGGCTATAAAATGGGCCTGTCTCGACAGACTGCCATTCAAGTCTTTTCAATCAAACTATTAAACTATTAAACTATATACAAATCCGACTTTTTAAAATCATATTCTTTCTAATGATATATTTTGTTCATTGCTCTGACTAAAATTAGAATGGTGACACTTAATGAGAAATGGTAATGGTAATGGTAATGGTACTGGTAATGGTGATGGTAATGGTAATGGTAATGGTACTGGTACTGGTAATGGTAATGGTAATGGTGATGGTAATGGTACTGGTAATGGTGATGGTAATGGCACTGGTACTGGTAATGGTGATGGTAATATGGTACTGGTAAGGATAACACTAACCTGGGACATGATCATTTGATCCATGATTTGAAAAATTGCTGATGTGGTCTGGAGATAAATGACTGATTGCCTCTGGTATCCGCCCAAGGTGTATCATCGCTTCGGCTGCATACATATGTCCTAGAAAACTGTGAATAAAGACGAGTTTTCACGTTCTCTTTTCAGAAATCATACTAAACTAGTGATATCAGTTGACGCCATGGGTTAAAGGTCTGTTCACACGATCCAATTTTGTTGGATCCAATTCACTTCTGATGGATGTTTTATAGTCTGTTGACTCGCTATGTATGTGGGCAGCAAATCAACCTAAACCAATGCAGTACTGCTTTATTAATAAATGACTTCATTCCATACATCAGAAGTGAATTGGATCCAACAAAATTGGATCGTGTGAACAGACCTTAAAATCATCAATATACTCCAGGAACAATGCGGGATTTCGTTTTAGACCAATCAGGAAGTTTGTTTACATTTTCAGTAACCCAATCAGAATGCATAAATTTTTACTACTTCCAAGTAAAAAGGTACATGATTTACTATTTTACATGAAGTATTAAAAATTTAAGCATTCTGATTGGCTTTGCCCAAAAATTGTAAACAAATATGCCGATTAGTTTAAAACGAAATTCCCTTTGTTTATTCCAGGTGATTTGACTGAACGACAAGTTGTCAAAAATGCCTCAGTTGAATATCTCTTGAAATATACCTTGATTGAATCGTTTTTAAATTTATGTCAGAGGCTTTAACTAAACATAATCACAGAATGTGGACCGGAGCCGCACACTTTTTTCGACAAACCTTCTCAGTTGTGGTTAACATACCTTAGCGAGCCACAAAGCTGCGGTTGAGAAAGTAACGACTGCGCATGCTCCAAGGATTGAACATAATCCCCCAGTATTAACGAAACATACGATATACCAGTTAGTATGAAATTTCTATAAGAAAAATTTCAAAATGCGCTTTTTAATTACCCATCCCTTAGAATCACTGCATGTTTAGATGGAAATAAAGCATTCTCACGTGAATTTGGGGAAATTTGTTTGGAGGGCCTGGTTTCAAATCTTTCGGCCCTATTTAAGGGGTTAGATCTAACTCATTGAGGTTGAAACAGAACTGCTTCATTAGTGAAAAGTGAAGTTAAAACCTTGCAGTGACTGTTTCATTGGATGTAAGTTTTCCATGGGATTTGGAAGATTTGGAAACCGGGTGACAAAAAAATGTTCAAAACTTGCCTTAATTTTTGGATCTCCTGACCTTTCACCGGGGGCGAAGGTGCGGCTGGGATAGACGTTGAATGAGACGCTGTTTCGCTACAGAAAAAGACAAAAATATAACTTGTATGTCCACAATCAACAGATTTCTTTTTAATTTGGTAAAGGGGGACAATTTATCGGGCCCTCAAACATTCACTAATACCCCACATACATCATCATTACACCCAAGTGACACCTCATCCCTCCTCCTCCATATAGTACTTACTCTGGATGGCTTGTATCAACTTCTGAACCTTCCTTCTCATCGACTGATGCTGTCCAGTTCTCTGGGATAAGGACCAGTCCATTTCGTAGACACAACAACCCAAAGTGCAAATTACAAGCTGGCATTGCGGCCGAGTGACTTCCGGAGCTTGCACTGAAAATAATTTCAAAAATCAGTAAAAATTCCATGTGCAGTAAATCCTAAATACAAGAAGTTTATTCTTGAAATTATGTTACGATTACGATTAGGATTAAGATAAAGTCTTGAATTAGGTTTATAGTTGAAAGCTAAATCGAAAATCAGTAAAGATTCCATGCTCAGTAAACCCTAAATACAAGGATTTAAGCCTTGAGATTATATTACGATTATTCCGGCGCCAGCGACGGAGTTGAAAATTCGCCCCACTGTCCCCGCTTGGCCCCCTCGAAAACATATACTTCATAGTTTATTGCCATGAGTTCGAGAATCGCGAAGCTTCTTCTGAAAGCAAGATCGTAAATGTTTGTTTGTATTGACTCAATATTCAACAAGTTTCTGAACCTAGTATAAAATTCGTCAGAATAACAACCACACTTTAGCAAGCGATGACAACATGCGTTGGCGAAAGTGTTAGACCCCGTTTACACTGGAACGAATGTTTCCGGATTTGTAAAATTTCCCGGATTCATTGTTACACACATGTATCGGATTCGTCAGGTGTTTACACTACACTTTAGTTGTCTCTGTATGCAGATTTACCCGTTTACACTCACATTACTTGTTCTTGGAGAATTGTTTGGTCGTCATATTGAATTTCTTCGGATTCGTCGTGCAAAGCGTTTACACAAGAAAATTTTCCGGATTCAAATGTTTCTGGATACGAAGTTTCCACAAACTTTTACGGATTCAAAGTTTCCGGATACGGCTGAAAGCCGAGTACATTTTCTATCGGATTCGTTGCTGCGTGTGTAAACAGCAACATGAATCCGGTACTAAAACATTCCGCTTTCGTAATGAATCCGGAAACTTTCGCTCTAGTGTAAACGGGGTCTTATTGTGCGTGCGGCTAACATTTAGGGAGTAATTAATACAAATTTGCATAAAAACGTTTAAAAACATCGGCAAACAGGAAAACAAGGTTACATGCACCATATAAAATCCGTCAGTGTTGTTTGTAAGTTAACTCAAACAAGAGTACAGCTAGATAGACTTTTATGCACTTAAAACTTTTCACACATCTAACGGTTCTCTAGCTCTAAAATGGTAAGGTAAAGAGGGGGCCAAATTTCCGAAGTGGGGGCTAAATTTCCTAGGGCATTTGGCCCGGGGGGGGGACATATTTCCTAGGAGATTTGGCCCGGGAGGACCAAATTTTCGGGGGGCCAAATTTCCTGTGACGCCGGTTTTGTTTTGTTGTTTATTGTTGTTTTTTTTACTTTTCGTCGTCGCAAGTGTGAAATGGAGCGAAATATACTAGTATTTGAAATGTGTATGTGACCGTATTTATCTACGTCCCAGTCTTATCTCCCAAGAGTAGTGGATTTCGCTCGCATGATACGGCAATTCCTCCAAGAAGAACAAATCAACCGTATTTTTCATGCTGTTCGATTAAATTGGGGTAAGAATATAATTTAATACATGTAGATTCTAGTCCTATTTTAATAATATCGCTTCTATTTCGCCTTTAACAAGATGTGGTCGTGTCTGGGCGCGTTGACACGTCGTAGTTTGCACAGGATTTAAGATTTAATATAACGATATAAGCACGAATTCCAAAGGCAAAGTGTAAGACAAAGCGAATGTATCATGCGGTTTATTAACATTTTTCAACATTTGAACTTCTATACTTTTTAAAGTACGATGTGCTTCTGAATTTCGCGATCGAACATTTAGGCTCGCAAGGCATCTAAATGCGAATATGAACTGTATTGTTTATGTTTAGAAGCTCTATATTAAAGACTGGCACGTGCGCCGGAGTTAACGCCAGAACAGATGTCTGGTTAAGATTGATTAAAATTGGTGAACACGCTACGGCATTCAAATCTTAACAATGAGTAATTACTCCGGCGTCAGCGACGGAGTTGAAAATTCGCCTCGGTTTTGTTTTGTTTTTGTTTTTTTTTTTTTTTTTTTTTTTTTTTTTATTATTTTTCGTCGTCGCAAGTCTGTAATGGCGCGAAACATTCTAGTATTTAAAATGTGTATGTGATTGGATTTATCTATGTCCCAGTCTTGTCTCCCAAGAGTTGTGGTGCACAGCTTTGGCTAATTTTCCGATGCGCGATTCGATTTCGCTCGCATGATACGGCAATTCCTCCAAGAGGAACAAATAAACCGTTCTTTTCATGCTTTTCGATTAAGTTTAGACTGAATTGGGGTAAGAATATATTTAATACGTGTAGATTCTGGTCCTATTTTAGTAATATCGCTGCTATTTCGCCGTTTAACAAGATGATGTGGTCGTGTATGGGCGCTTTGACTCGTCGTAGTTTGCACAGGATTGAAGATTTAATATAACTATATAAGCGCGAATTCCAAAGGCAAAGTGTAAGACAAAGCGAATGTATTATGCGGTTTATTTACATTTTTGAACAATTGAACTTCTATACTTTTTAAAGTACGATGTGCTTCTGAATTTCGCGATGGAACATTTAGGTTCGCAAGGCGTCTAAATGCGAATATGAACTGCATTGTTTATGTTCAGAAGCTCTATATTGAAGACTGGCACGTGCGCCGGAGTTAACGCCAGAACAGGCGTCTTGTTTAAATAGTTTTCAATTTTTTTGAAACAAACATAACGTGTGGGGATCTTGGTAACTGTCGAGAGTCGAGAGTAAAATGTCGAGAGTCGAGTTTAAGTTCAAGTTTACTTTTACTCATATTCACTGCACGTTACCTATGCTAAGAGACTACGGTAATATCGTTATTTTTATCAATTGACGCTTTATGTTTCAACTTCCGACATTGATGCATCAAGTGACAGAATTCGACGTACACCTTGCATCGCTGTTTGCAATTGTGGCGTATTCAAGCACTCAGTTGCGAACATATTTTTCAAAACATTCGAACATATTTTTCAAAGCATCAATGTCGGAAGTTGAAACATAAAAAAAGCGTCAATTGATAATAACAGTATTACCGCAGTCTCTTAGCATAGGTAACGTGCAATGAAATATAAGTAAAAGTAAACTTGAACTTAAACTTAATACATAAATGAAAACATCTTTTTGCGCGCAAAACGACTCTCCGGCGACATTTTACTCTCGACTCTCGACATCTTACTCTCGACTCTCGACATTTTACTCTCAATTGAGACTGCGAACCACGTATCCGTGTATCCACTAAAATATATAGCTACCCTTATATCACATCTCACAGCGTATCCAGTGAAACAGTAGCTACTTAGTAGATGATATGATATCATTAGTGGAGGGGTATTCTACAATTTAGCTCCACCAAAACACTCACAACAGTCTCTACCTAGCCTACGTCGTAAATAATTATAACATTTCACGCCACGTTTGACTAATGATGCAAAAGTCAAAACAATTGCTCCTTGATGCAAATTTCTTTCACATGGCAACAACGTCACTTCAAAAAGAACTTGCGACGGCAATTCGCTGTTCGTCGGTTACATGATATCAATTTGATTCATTCACAGACATTATGTATGTATCATGTTACTTGTTACACGTCATTTGAGTCTACATATTATGATCTATATTTTACATGTAACAGAAATACGAGACGTGACTTCAGAGAATTTTGGTTGATATCCTAGCCGTCAGGGTCATGCGCTAAAGGATTTCATGGCATTTATCAATAAACGACTTCTGTCTCGGAAGACAAAGACGGTTTTAAAAGCGCTCAGTGTATTGATTTTATGTAACATCCTCGTAATATGGTATATGGGATTTCACGCTGCTCATAAACAGGTATTATTAAAAGAAGGAGAAATCCATTTGAAGGAAAGGACAGTCGTGGACATAGAGATATACAAGTTGAATGAAACTGGACCTCCTATATACATGGGCAAAGATTTTTCAGAATTTATTCACAGAATGAATGCGAATTATAAAAGAGCATTCAGTTATTCTGCTTCGGACAAGGTTTCAGGAGCAAAAAATGTCGATATTAAAAACGATTATTATCCCTTTGTTGATTTTAAGTTCGTCTTGCCAGACGTTGCGCCCACAATCAACATATCGCAAAGTTATGCTATGATTGTTTTGGTGAATTCTGGCGCTAAAGGAAATAAGTTCAGAAAACGTCGCGAGGCCATCCGACAAACCTGGGGAAACCAAAGTAACTGCGAACAACGTAAAGCTTCGCAAGATGAAAGATTAAAACACTTAAGATGGCTGCTCGTATTTGTTGTTGGAAAAGCAGGAAGTCGAACGAACGACGATGAATTGAATATCGCTGAAGCTCGACAACACAACGATATGTTGATTGGAAATATCACAGACAACTATATTAACAATGTTATCAAGTTTTACATGGGTCAGGTTTGGGCGAGTAGATTTGATGTAAAATACACGATGAAAACAGACGATGATGTTTACGTGCGCATACCACGCGTGTTGGAGTATCTTGTGCATGCGAAGTTTCCAAGACCGTTTTACGGTGGTGCAACTTACCCCTCTATCAGGGTGGATCGATCTATCGGTGGAAAGTGGGCAGTTAGTTGGAAATACTATAACAAGACTCATTTCCCGAGGTTTAATCCTGGGGCATTCTTTATTTTATCCAGCGATCTTCTCAACAGACTATGGAACTATACTTGTGTGAGAAAACCATTTCACACAGACGATGCGTACGTGGGGGTCGCCATGCAGGATTTCAAGGTCAATATAACTAAAATGCATTCATTCAGAGCAATACCCAGAATGCCGCAGTTCATACGCTCTGTCAAAGACTGTGAAATGATGAATTGCACTGCATTTGGGGACGCCGTAGACCCGCAGTCGGCCAGGCAACTTCACCGTCGTCTTCAGTCACATTCTTGTTCAAATATCACTATGAAATGTTGACGACTTATTTTCTCTTGTTTAAATGGCTCTACTATTTCCTAACGCTGCACAGAGCCACAAAATACCTATCAGAAGAATAACTCTATATTATTTTTTCGTAAGTGTGATTCGTCATGATTCGTCACTTAGCAAGTGCATTAAATTGAGGTAGTCACCCCCCTGCCAAAATTTAGCAATATACCCCGCGCCATATTGCTAAACTTTGGCAGGGGGGTGACTGCCTCAAAAAATGCACTTGCTAAGTGACGAATCATGACGAATCACACTTACGAAAAAAGTACAGGAGTTCTACTTCTGATAGGTATTCTGTGGCTGAGGTGCACGTGGGAGTCACAAGTGAAAATATTCACGGGTTCCAAATTTAGTCATGAGGAATTTTTGTATGACAGCTTAGCCTTAGAAAAAAAAATGATAATAAGTAGTATCCGCATATTTCAATCTTCTTATCTTCATTTTAAGAATATTATTTTTCAATATTGAGGCCCTTGTCCAACGAATGGGAAAGTGCTTGAGAATTGTATGAAAGCTGGATAGCGCTATCTACCGCGCGGATAGTGATTTTTTCAACCGTTCTAAAAATTCTCGAAAAGCGATCAAATTTTATCTTTGGGATGAACAATTATTAAAGACGATCCTGATTTAGCAATACTAAGATTTAATGAAAGTATATAGAGCAAACAACGTGTCTTAGTATGTCTTCACTTCCAATAATATGCGATATAGATAAACTTGTATTTTTGAATAGCTTTTTTTTAATATCTGTACAGTCGGCATCTATCTCGATAGTGGCATAAATCATTTTGCCGTTTTTATCCAAGGTATTTACATAATGATAATTAAATCTGTCCATGTATGGGGTAAAATATAGATTAAACTTTTGATTAAATCTTAGTATTTGTAAATTAATTAGGGATCCTCTTTAACACTGAAATTAAATAATAATTGCATTGTTGGTTCCAAAGCTGAAATTTTATTGCTCTTTGAGAATTTTTGGAACGGTTGAAAAAAATCGCGCTATTCGCCTTTCATACAACCGGCCCGTTGTTCGACTGCTCTCATACATCTTGTGAATGATTGAAGCCGCATCTTATGGATTAAATATGTTTAAAAATTGAAAATTAAACTATTTACATCGAAATAGTTCAGCTCAGTTCTTCGATAAATAGTTAATTTTGTTTTCCATTTTGAACTTATCCACCGTTTGAGCTAGACGCCTTTCGAACAACCGGCCCCTGGTGTGTATGTACCTCGGAGTACACCAGGGTACACTAGGGTACACCGGGACGAAACTGACATTTGAAACGAAGCTTCAATCCTGATAATGCCAAAGGCGTTAACGTTTATAACATTGTTGGTAATCTTTTTCACTCATCGCAAAATCAACTCGAAAACTCGCTGTAGAGTTGGCTTTTGAGATTAGTGTGTGAAAAAAACTGCCACCAGCAGACCGACGCTGCCACGCTGCGGGTGTTTTAGGCCTTGAAGTTTTAATATTTTTTTTTCCATCCTGTTTTCGCTGTATTTGTGAAAGTTGATGTGATTGCTTGAAACTAAAGAAGGCTAACTTGATTAATATGATGCTAAGCAAAAATTATTCGTTAACAAGAATGCGCTACATACTTCGAAATCATAATATTGAGTCAAAACGACGGAAAGTTATTTGCATACTAGACAGCCCTGGAGGCTGGAGGAACTAGAAAACACGCAAAAATACTGGTAAAAGTACGGAATATTAAATAAAAGTCGATAGAAAAAATATTTTCGAAAAAAGTATCAGCGCTGGCGTTGAAAATTATGTCCCAAAAGATGTCGATAAAGCTATAAAAATTTTACAATTTTATCATGCATAAAATATATAATATGCTACAATCATGACGATGGCGGAAGCACTTAGGAATTTAATAATAGTTCTCGTGTATCTGTTACCTTCGTCTCTCGATTTCAAATTTTAAATTTCTACCCGCAAAATATCACCGCCCGCCATATTTGCCCGAAAAGGGCCTGCGGAGGAGGTAGCATATTGATAGTTCTCGTGTATTCATATTGTGTAATTGTGTGATACGATTGTATGACTTCAACGTAGCCTGCTCGCAGACTGAATGAGAGGGCCGGAAACACACGAAACAGATGCGCTATTTCCTTTCACAAAACATCACAATCGAACGCATATGAAATTGACACAAACACGGGGGAGTCGTATTTCTGCATCTCAAAAATTTGCCGATGAGTAGCGTTCTCACTTCTACGGTAATTTCCTTACAAAAGTTTGACTGTATCGACGGGAGGGAGAATAATTAATATATTCTTTTCAAATGTTCTTTATCTCAGGTTATTCAAAACAACCTTCCCGGCCCCACAGTAAAAAGTATGCATATTTAAGTGAGAGCACTGTCATGATGAAGTACACGACCCCAATGGCAAAGGGGGTCGCTAAGATAATATGATCCCAAAGGCAAAGCGGATACCTTTCTGATGAACTGGAAAGAGTGCAAAAGCGTGCCATGCGCATCATATTCCCTGGCCATTCATATGTTGAAGCTCTTCAATTAGCCAACTGCACCAAGCTGAGCGATAGACGAAACGATATATGTAGAAAAACCTGACACAAGATTATTAAACGATCAGGTCCTCTCGCTTAGTATGTGACGGAGAAAAGAGCAAGTGCTCAACATTATAATATTAGATACCTAAATAATCTGCCACTGTATAAGTGCAGAACCGAACGTTTTAAGAATAGCTTCTTTCCAAGAATCGCGGAACTGAATAAGAAATAAACATAGCATTAAAAAAGTTTAATGTAAATTTTGAGCAATTCACATTCAATTTAATAGATAGTTCTTAATCTCTTAAATCTTATCCATATATATTATTTTTACCTTATGCTGCATCTAAATGTGGTGTATATATCTATCTATCTATCCATCTATCTATCTATATATACTATATGTCTGATAGTTTAACAACGTCCATGTAAATAACTAATTTGTACTACCTAGTAAACACCTTGCAATGCATTTTTTATGCGATAATGTGTCATTAGACACCAAATAAAATAAAATAAAATAATAAGAATACAACAGGACCGGTCGGACCGTTTTTACTGTATAAATTAAGGAAAGCGCCCATAGTATAATGTATAGTATGGAGCACCCTTTTAATATCAACGATAAAAAAATCCTCAACATTTGTTTTTATCTTTTCCACACAGCAGTCTCTCGTAACGATCGAAGAGCATCTTCGAACCCTTATTGTCAATACTATGGCCCAATGCAATTTTACCTAATAAACTGCAGTCAGAATAGTGAGAAGCTTCCTGCAACATGTCTGGTGAAATTCGAAATGACAAAATTGTGGTAATTTTCACTCCAAAATCTCTCATGGCCACCCCAACATATGCATCGTCCGTATGAAACGGTTTTCTTACATACGCGTAATTGAATAGTCTGTAGAGAAGGTCAGCAGACAAGATGAAAAACCCACCGGGGTTAAATCGGGGCCAATCCTTTTCTCCGAAATATTTCCAGCTCACTGTCCATTTTCCACCGATAGCTCGATTCACCGCAGTTCCCGCGTACGTCCAGCCCCCATAGAATGGTCTTGGAAACTTCGCATTCACAAGATACTCCAACACGCGTGGTATACGCACGTAAACATCGTCGTCTGTTTTCATCGTGTATTTTATATCAAATCTACTCGCCCAAACCTGACCCATGTAAAACTTGATAACATTGTTAATGTAGTTGTCTGTGATATTTCCAATCAACATATCGTTGTGTTGTCGAGCTTCAGCCATATTCAGTTCATCGTCGTTCGTTCCACTTCCTGCTTTTCCAAGAACAAATACAAGCAGCCATCTTAAGTCTTTCAGTCTTCCATCTTGCGAGGCTTTACGTTGTTCGCAGTTACTTTGATTTCCCCAGGTTTGTCGGATGGCCTCGCGACGTTTTCTAAACTCATCTCCTTTAGCGCCAGAATTGACCAAAACAATCATAAATATATTCGGCGTCGCTTCAACTTTTGGGTTAATCTCCGGAAAGACGAACTTAAAATCCACAAAGGGATAGTAGTCGTTGACAATATCAATCGAGGGTTTTGACGTCGAATTTGAAGTTGGTCTTGAAGTTGGTCTTGAAGTTGGTCTTGAAGTTGGTTTTGTCGTCGCACGCTTCGTATTCACTTCATGATGAAATCTGCTCATGAATTTGGACAAAGTTTGATTCAAACCTCTGAGCATCAATGCTATGTTAATATTTTCAACTGCTGAGTTTTTTGATATTGTTACGGAAGCGTCGCTTGCCGTAGCCGTAGGTAGACTTTGTAAAGTAGGTGCATGTTTAATATATATCAAGGAGGAACATAATACATATGTCAGGAAGATGAACGCAAATGCTATCAATTGTCCTTTAACTCGTCTTGGGAACATGGCGAGCTGAGATTATACGGTTGCCAACGACTCGTTGCAGGTTGCACCACTCGGCGTCGCCAACTCACTGACATCATCTCGTTCCCCGAGCCCGCGATTCGTCTGCCTCAGGCGAGAAATTTGTTGTAATATGCTTCTATTCGTAATCTGCTACGGAAACAACGCCGTCAAACAAGTGTACACAAAGTTTACACTTGTTTAAAAATTTTAGCTGTACAAAAACAACTAGGAGGTATCGTGTTAAAATAGTTTATGAAGTCACTCTTGTTCGAACGTTTGATGTATGTATTTTAGTACCTCGTGTTCATGTTCTTGTTCTGTCGTCGATTCAGTGATTTTGTCACGATATTTTACCTAATAAATATATTCATATTCCTCGCAATAATGTGAATCCACTAAATTCATCATATCGTTCCAGTTATTTTTTAGAGTTCACTGGCACTTACACATCGAAGCTTTTCCAACTGTGTGCCGCCAATATTGCAGCAAAATTTTCAAGTGTAAAGGCGGGCCTTACCTTTGTCTTTGAGCATGCCCGCGTATCATCACAACGAAACTGATATACAAATACCCAAACCATATATATGTAACAACAGAAAATTCTGCTTTTTAAACCTTTCATGTTGATTTTGAAGTTGATTTTGAAGTTGCCTCTGATTGCTGCGGTTTTTGATAATGCTACGGAATTTGTCTTGGCTTCTTTTGCTCAAATTCTCGTAATTATGCTTGTTAGTTCTGCTTGCCTCGCACGTTCATTACTTTTAAGTGCTTTTCTCTTTTGGTCGTTCCTTACGTCTATACTTGGCCGCAAATTAAAAGAAAGCTTTAAGTCGGCTGTCTCGTAGTTACCGATAGAATCAATATATAATATGAATATTGGTCCACTCCTTATTTATATATTGTTCATGGCATCTCGACTCAATAGTACTTCACTAGCACTTTCTCTCTGACATAAAGAACCCTTTTTTCTTGTGTCATGCAAATTAGTGCACTGGTACCGGATCTACCCCTGCCGTTTACCCTGACAATTTTCATCTGCATATATTCCTAGGGTCTGTTTACATGGAGCGAGTTATCTCGGCCAGGCGAGGTGTATTGGTCCACTCCTAATATCTCAAATTTCCACCGCAAACTAGGAACAGGCAGCCTTGTACTCGGGCGCTTTAATCGTAAAATATATAACCGTTGCATTCAGGTCTTGTATAGAGGTCAGCTGAAAAAAAACGCGAGCGCGCGGGAGTGCTTGGGGTGGTGCGACATTAAAACGCCTGGGTACGAGGCTGGGGAACAGGTGTAGTAGTAAAAAAGTAGTAGTAAAACTTTATTTAAAAGTCACACGCTAGCCCGTCAACTTTAAGCTGATTTCCACGAGGAGCGGGTGATTTACATTTGAAAACATATACACAATTAACTAAATACTATTATACAAGACAAATTACAACTACATACAACACACCACGCTACAATACACTACGTAAACAACTTACATGTATTAATAAAAGTATGGAATATGGAGAGTTATAAAGAAGAATAAGGAAGTTAAAAATTTATACCTAGAAGTGTTTAATTTGTATGAGTACGAATTCTTTCTTTAAACATTGTCCAATTATCCCAAGCTTCATATTTAACATTTTGTCATTCCTGCTTATTACCGGAGTTTAACATTTAACTAGATTACTACGACAAACTAATTTCTCAAGACGTTCAAAAAGAAATCTCGTCGACTGTGGGTCCATGTTATGCGCAAAGCCATCAATTCCTAGTATTTTACAGTCTTTTTCTTTTCGCACAAATTCGTTCATATCAGGTCTTAAACCAAGCGAAAATATCGTTGTAACTTTCACTCCGAAATCCCGCATCGCGACCCCCACATACGCGTCGTCCGTATGAAAAGGTTTTCTTACATGTGCATAATTAAACAATCTGTACAGCAGGTCTGACGAGAGGATAATAAACACACCGGCGTTGAACATTGGAAAATTCACTTCACCAAAGTATTTCCAACTCACTGTCCACTTCCCTCCAATAGCTCGATTAACCGGGATCGGCAAGTATGTCATACCACCGTAAAACAGCCTTGGAAACTTCGCATGCACAAGATACTCCAACACGCGTGGTATACGCACGTAAACATCGTCGTCTGTTTTCATTGTGTATTTTACATCAAATCTACTCGCCCAAATCTGTCCCATGTAAAACTTGATAATATTGTTAATATAGTTGTCAGTGATATTTCCAATCAACATATCGTTGTGTTGTCGAGCTTCAGCCATATTCAATTCATCGTCGTTCGTTCCAGTTCCTGCTTTTCCAACAACAAATACGAGCAGCCATCTTAAGTGTTTTAATCTTTCATCTTGCGAGGCTTGACGATGTTCGCAGTTTTCCCGATTTCCCCAGGTTTGTCGGATGGCCTCGCGACGTTTTCTGAACTCATCTCCTTTAGCGCCAGAATTGACCAAAACAATCATAAATATATTCGGCGTCGTTTCAACCTTTGGGATTATTTCCGGAAAGACAAACTTGAAATCCACAAAGGGATAATAGTCGTTGACGATATCAATGGAAGGTTTCGAAGTTGATTTTGAAGTTGGTTTCGAAGTTGATTTTAAAGTTGATTTTGCAGTTGGTTTTGTCGTCGCACTCTTCGTATTCGCTTCATGATGAAATCTGCTCACAAATTTCGACAAAGTTTGATTCAAATCTTTGAGCGTCAATGCTATAATGTCAATATTTGCTGCCGTTTTCCCTGATGCTACGAAAGAATCGCTCGCTGTCGGTGAAGTACATAAGCGTTTATCGCTTACGAAAAAGGAATATAAAAAACAGACCAGAAAGAACGCGACAAGAAGTACGAATAGTCCTTTAAATCGTCTGGAAGAAAACATCGCGCGTTCACTTTTCGCAAATTCGACCTGCACGGGCAGGCAACTTCTGCGCAGGCAACAAATATGTAAATTGTTGAGTCATCAATGTTGTTGCAGCTTGTTACAACAACATTGCATCGTGATTTCGTCAACATTGATTCCCTGACAAGGTTCAACAACATTATTAACAATACTGTACCCAAGGAGCAGCACAGCATTGTTCACCCCTGATGGGACAACCAGATCGATTTTTGGCCGTGTATATATACATGCAGTGGCGATAATCGGGGGGGCACATATTCATATACAGGGTGTCTCAAAAAAAAACGCAACCACTTAAATATGCAATTGCACCGTAGTTCAGCTAAAATGACTTTTAGCATTGAAAATGAAGGATTAAGGCCCTGTCTACACTAATGCGTTTTCGTCTGAAAACGCATACATTTCGATGCGTTTAGGCCTTCCGTTCACACTAATACGCTCGAATACGCTCAGCGTATTCACCGAAAACGCATCGATTTGAATACGCTGTTGAAAGTGAATACAAATGAAAACGCATACATATCGTATTAGTGTGAACACTTGAAGACGATACTTTTGAAAACGATTAGGTCACACGCATCGATTGGCTATCTTTAAAACCAGGAACGGGGAATCAAGGAACGGGGAACCAGGAACGGGGAACGGGGAATGAGAATCTCCGGAATCTTTAAAACCCGGAACGAGAATTTCCGGAATCTTTAAAACCCGGAATGAGAATCTCCGGAATCTTTAAAACCCGGAATGAGAATCTCCGGAATCTTTAAAACCCGGAACGAGAATCTCCGGAATCTTTAAAACCCGGAATGAGAATCTCCGGAATCTTTAAAACCCGGAACGAGAATCTCCGGAATCTTTAAAACCCGGAACATGAATCTGGAATCTTTAAAACCCGGAATGAGAATCTCCGGAATCTTTAAAACCCGGAACGAGAATCTCCGGAATCTTTAAAACCCGGAACGAGAATCTCCGGAATCTTTAAAACCCGGAATGTGAATTTCCGGAATCTTTAAAACCCGGAATGTGAATTTCCGGAATCTTTAAAACCCGGAATGAGAATTTCCGGAATCTTTAAAACCCGGAATGAGAATCTTTGAATGAAAGACAATGATTTTTCTTCCATGAAGTATGAAAGCATTTTCTGCTTGCTGGCTCATTGTAATTCCCGCGATTTTTTAACTGTTTTGGTTGTGCAAAATCGTAGAAATCGAGAATAAATTGTTGCTTTATATCACCTTTTTTTTCTTGCCTATTAAAGATGTAAAATTATATTATATTTGCGCTTAATACACGGCATTTAATGGAGGGATTTACGGGTATCCCGAAACTTTCAATGCGGCCAGAGAGTTTTAATACAGGTTTGGCAACTTTTGAATGGAGTCAATTTGCAAGTGCGACTGAATTGGGCTCAGGTTCGTACGGCTTAATATACACAGGTAAATTTAATGAACAGAATGTCGTCGTCAAATCCATGCGCATTCGTAGTCGAGAATGTAAGCGCCTGTTTATAAAAGAAGCGCAGCTACTCAACAAGTTGAGAGGTCATGAGCACATCGCACGTTTTGTCGCCATATGTAACGAACCCTTGGCTATCATGATGGAGCATTTTTTTTTGACTTCAAACCATTTGGTATGGATAAAGTTATTACTTCTCTTGATGAACTACTAAGTTTTGTAGATGAACACTTAGATTTCAGTGCGCTAAAGCAGTTTCAAACGAAAATTGCCCAAGATATTGCAAGTGGACTATCCCACCTTCATGAAAATAACATTGCCCACAGAGACCTAAAACCTGCCAATGTCCTTGTTTCTAATCAGTATTATGCAAGTGAAAAGACAGACAGCCTCCGCAACCAAATGTTCGTTGATAATCCTATTCAGTGCAAGCTTACGGATTTTGGCGAAAGTCGGGCTTCTTTTCTTCAAACGAGGACTTTAATAGTGAGCAAAACTAACCGGTTGGACCGCGGAACCGAAGTCTTTTTGGCACCTGAGGCTCAACTGCGATTAGCAAAGAACGTAACGATTGATGATCTGAAGAAATCCGATATCTGGGCTCTCGGTATGACAATGTATTGCCTTCTAAATCCTGATCTTGACAACCCGTATGAGAATGCTTTCGTTAAAGCTAGATTAGAACCATCGGTGGAATCGTTAAAGTTGCTGCTAAATCAAAAACAATTGCCAAAGCTTGAGCCAAACGGAAAGTACGAGCATTTACAAGTCGGGGAATGGTGGAAAGTCGTGTACGTTTTTGAAGCTTGCTCGCAATTTGATCCTCACAAGAGACCTGAGGTTCGCGATGTCTCTGCAGTTTTATCGAAAAACTACTTGGAGACATATCTTAATTTTATTCCACTAACTGTCAGTCAATCTACTGCACTTGAGACGTCTGATCGACAAATGGCCGAGAGTCTGTCAATCTTATCCACACCATCAAAATTTGGCGAAGAACTTGGCGAATCGTACGATAACGATGCCGATGGTACCAATGCGTGTGCATTCCTGTGTGTAGCCCTATGCGATAAATTCCTTGCCTTGCCTAACGATGAAATTGATTGGAACGTACTTAAACATATGACTGAAAGTGTTATTAGTGAGTTACCAGCATTGTTAAACACAATACGAGATTGTGAAAAATTATACGAGCCCATCACCGCGTATTCTTTGTTACGGGAAAATGGAATTGTAGACGCCTGCAACCTTTCCGAGGAATTTATTGATTCATCTGAAGTGTTCAGAGTTGCTAGTAAAACTAACTTAGTCAACGTACTATTTTCAAGAGCTGGAGAGTCAAAGACGGTTGGACTGTACACCTGCGAACCATATACCTTGATGGTTGGAGTAAATTGCAATGCGTTGTTTATCTTGGACACCCATCCAATAAGTCAGGCGCTAGGTGGCAATGGAAACGGGATCCTCGTGTTCTCTCCTGACAAAACGCTCAAATCGTGTAAGATGATTGCCCAATGGATATACGAGAGGTTGTTGCATAGTGGCATAAAGGGAAAAAAACATCACAGCTTTGCATGGATTACACGAGGTATATCATTATTTAAAATTTTCATCATTTTTAATTGTAGATTAACACCTAAAAAAGCTGTACCATTTTTCATATAAAGTTATAAACATCTATAAACGCTCAAGGAAGCTCAAGCACTTTCATTTTTTGGAAAATCTGCGATAAGAAAGCAGCGTAAATAATGACTTAAAATTCAAAATACCGGACAGATTTGATTGCCATATATTCAAAATTTGGACGTTAACTATGAACTCTAACAAAGTGTGTAAAGTATTTATGAGGTATGAATGTATACAGGTTATAGTCATTGTATACTTCTGTAATCTGTACAACAAAGAGGCATGTTTAACATCGGGGCATCAAGAAAGCTGAAAGCGTGGTAAAAAAGAGGTTTACTATTTGATTTCAAAAAGCTTACCGACTTCTACCTTTCATTAAAGTTTAATTTAACATTTATCTGCTCACAGAATCATCGGAGATGTGCAACAACGAAGAAGAAATTCAAAAGTCGATAGCGCATGAGGAGAACAGCACAATGTCGAAAGGAAGAGACAACGTAAGGCTAAATTTATATTTTTTCTTTCTTCTATTTCCTAGGGTAATTTTATCTTCATGATTTTATTTCTTCAGCAGAATGTGACTATGTACCCAAAGGAAAAGGAAAGGAAACGTCCGGCAGACGACGCTTCTTCGACTGGGTATTTGCTTTTATTTTTTCATTTATAAACTGATAAAGTGCATGTTAAAAACCGTTAAAAATTTAGAATAAAGACCCTGGGTACGAGGTTGTAAAAATGTTTGGTTTACATTTGATATTGTATGTATGCATGTAGCTATTTCCGTTTTTTAGTGCTGAGAAAAGCGCTCCGAAAATAACAACCATATCCGTAACGGAATCTTCACCGAACAGCAAAGACGACGAAGAAAGGCGAAATTCGGCAGTGGCTAATTCTACCAAGGAGGGAAGCGTCGAAATAACAAAATCAGGAGGCGCAGTAAGTGTATCGTTTCTTCTTTCTTCTTAAGTAAATTCCACTTATTTTTCATAACATTTCTTCTAAAGGAGGAAACCAGGGACCCAAATGAAAGTCAGATAAATGATGAATCTTCCAGGTACTATTTTGTACAAAGATTTTTCCATATAGCGTCATGTTAACTCCGCCGAAGTATCTTCTTTTTGATTTTGAATATCTGTAATGTCTATTTCCAGTTGCTTAGTAACGATTTTGGATGTTCCAGTCGTAATAACAATAACGGAATCTTCGGAGAAACACAATGAGGAGGAAAGGCAAAATTCCGCAGTGGATAATATTACCGATGAAGCAATGACGAAATCAGGAGGCGAAGTAAGCCGTGTATCATTTCAATATTTGCTTTCCTCTCTTCACCAGTAAAAGTAGGTTCTACTTAATTCTGATCATTTAATTTCTTCTTCAACAGGAGGCTACCATCGACCAAAGTGAAAGCCAGGCGGATAATGAATTTTCTAGGTATTTGTTTACGCTATATTTTCTCACGTAGCTTCGAGGCAGCAGTAGCTGTCTTGCATGTTGTATCTATCCTTGTCTATTTATATTTTTTAGTGACGAGAAAGCCATTGAAAGAATCGATGCATCCGGCGAATGTTACAAGAACGATGCAATGACTCCAGTTTTCTCTTGGAGTAAATCCGCCTATACAAGTCAGGAACTAGTTTGTATACTAATAAATGATTATCCAATTGAGGAAACTTGCGCATCGCAGCCAATTAACGTCTCTCACAATGCCTCTTTCCTGGTCGGCACAAATTATTTGGAACACCCTGATGACATAAAGTGTGACGACATGGGTTCTTGGAAGCACAACGGCTCTCCAAAGCGTCTTTTCCATGTGAAGAGAGATCCAAACGGTGTGTTAACAGAAATACAACGCTTAGATGTAACGGTGCCTAAACATGCCGCACTAAAAGATAACATTTACGAATTGAGAAGGGCCTATTACAGAAACTGTTCGGACAAGACTGTCCGGAAGATAGTATCTAAATTATATGGTACGTACTAGGACTACCGGCCATCCGGCTTTATGAATAATATACAATTGTATTCTTAATCACAGAAATTTCAGAAATATTTCCCTAGAACCGGAAAGGAATGTTAACGTATTTTTTATGTAAACTCACACCTAATTAATGTTTTCGCCATTTTGCAAAACATTACATCTTTGTTGCGTTGTCCAAATACACCCTCTGAAAAAGTGATATACTGAACCATACATCCACCCCCATATTTACTTCATCACACTAGAAATACATGCATGCACAACCCCTCGTCATTTCAACCCAAACAAATAATTTGATGAGTTTTCCAGACCTACGCTTATATTATGAAGTATAAACATCCTATATATTAGCGTCCCGAGTATTCTTGTAACTTGCAAAGCTCAGCACCCAACAATTTACGTTTGCGCTAAAAGAGTAATGGACCTACGAAAGATCGCCTCTAGATGGGTTAGATATGCAATATATTCGCTTGGTATATGAATTGTTATTCTCTTTTTGTAGATAACTGTGGTGCACAACTTCCAAATGTGCTTATTCAGTATTTGTTCGATGATAAAGAACACGAAATAAAACACGTTATGCCCCACGGAAACTCAAAAACCAAGTCTTCGTACCGGCGGGTACTATCAAGCACCAGAAAGCGAATGAAACAGTCCATACTTGACAGGGGAAAGACAGCCAAACAAACCCTTGATGAAGTGTACTGTACATCTGGAGACGTTATAAAGGCAAGATCGATTGGCCAACTACCAAGAGGGCCCAGCGATTTATATTATGCAAGACACTCTGCAAAGAAGATGCCCAATTCTAGTCCGTTGCTTGATCAAAGCAAGAAAAGCGAAGCCAAGGAAACTAGTCAACCTGCAAGTATAGATAGTATGTGGACGCTTCTGGAACGTGCAAAGAGGGAAGAACAGTCAAAAGAAGATGTGTTCATACGCGAATGCTCAATTCACCCTAACCTGTTTGTAGTTCTTGCAAACGATCGACAACTTGATGAGGTTGCAAACTTCTGTACGCACCCAAGTGAACACAGTGTTTTCGGAATTGATCCAACTTTTAATATATTTGACCGAAATATTAGCCTTACGGTTACTACATACAGAAATCTGAAATTGGTCAACCCCAAAACCGGTAAACAACCAGTGTTTGTTGGACCGTTGCTCATGCATCAGAAAAAGGACTGGAAAACCTTTTCCAAATTTGCACACTCATTGGTTACTCTTAAACCAGAGTTAGATGCAGTCCTTGCATGCGGTACGGATGGTGAAAGAGCGCTCGTCAATGGTTTCAAACGAAATATGCGTTTTGCGGTATTTCTACGATGCTTTCTACATTTTAAAGCTAATATTGAGAGAGAGCTAATTTCGAGAGGAATTACAGGGAATGCTAAGAAAGAATTCGTGTGCGAAATATTTGGAAAACAAGAAGGAGACATTAAATATTTCGGACTTGTTGATTGTGAATCAGAAGAAGAATTCGACGAAAAACTGCAACAGCTTCAACCGATTTGGGAAGAAAGGGAGATTGTAACTGAAAACAAAGAGAGGAAGCAAACAATGTTCGAGTGGTTTAAACGCGAAAAGGTAAGAGACCAATTCTTACGAAACAACCGTTACATTACGCCAATAGCGTAGGCAGCGCAATATATCCAAGTAATTGTTACCCTTGTAATTTTTGTCACCTTTCTAATATGAACACTACTCTAATATAGACAGCTCTCTAATGTTCGTTACCAATTGTGGAATTGTTGTGGAATGAGTTATTAGTTCCTAGAGTTCCCATGCACATTTGCATAGATTTTCCTTTCTTAATTTCCTTTCTCGACCTGCTTGGATATTAATTGTTCATTCATTTTAAATGGTCCGCGTATATATTAAATGCATACAGTAACCAAATACAGCGGACGCTTTTTAGGCACAGGATATCAAGGACTCGATGCTGAGACCGATCAGAACAGAAGCAGGGCTTGGTAACCCACCATCCGAATACACGAACAACGACCCTGAAGCTGCAAACTTCATCATAAAGCATGGGCTGCACTTCAACCCAAACAAACCCCACGAGTTTATTGAAAATGTCAAAGAAATTATCTTAACACAACAAAGAAATGAAGATCGTGCGGTATTTGGAAAAGGTCCGTATCGAGTACGAGAAGGTTTCACCCATTTGTCCGTTGATGACGTAGAAAGAAGCAGTTTAAGTCACGCTCAAATGGAAAAAAGATTGGCTGATTTCAACAAAGCAAAAATGGACAGCAGGGTTGACGTCGTCAGTCCAACCCCTCAAGACCAAGAGGTAAATTTATTTGTTTCCTATTAACTTTTTTTTGTAAATATAATTACGCAATTAAGCTTGCAGCTGCAATATAATATTTTAACCATCCATCCATCCATCCATCCATCCATCCATCCATCCATCCATCCATCCATCCATCCATCCATCCATCCATCCATCCATCCATCCATCCATCCATCCATCCATCCATCCATCCATCCATCCATCCATCCATCCATCCATCCATCCCCATCCATCTATATCCATCCATCCATATCCATCCATTTATTTATCTATCTAATAATCTAGGACGAACCCACGTCGCGTTTAAGTGTCACAGCTAATGAAAGCGGGATAACAACAGTACCTCAACCGATACTTGAAGCGATGTTCGAAAGGGCCTCTAACTTGTTAGCGGTGCCGGGAAAAGTTATTCCAAAGCCTGGTGCTGACGATGGATCATTCGTAGTGGCAGGATTATCCAACAACATACATTGTGTAAATCCTGGCAAAGGTGGTTCTCTCTCCTGCGATCGCAGCTGCATAAATTATGCGACCAAAATTTGTGAACATACACTAGCTGTCGCACAGGTGAGAGGCACATTGAGCGAGCTGCTGACGTGGTTCAAGAGAAGAAAGAAGCGGCCTGCAATGATGGAGATGGTCGAACAGAGTGGCCCCAAAACTGCAGGAAGGAAGCCGTCACAAAGAAAGCGGACCAATGTTAAACGGCCTACAGTCAACGAATACCGTCGACCTGTTACGTCCTCCAACATCGCAAATGTTACCCGATGTGCCGTCCACAATTCAACACGCAAGCATTCCTTCAACCAATATTTATACCCAACCTCCAACATTCTCCTCTGTTGAAAGAATGACACAAGTAATGCCAACGGCCCCCGATACAAGTACCTTCCAAACTGATTATCCCTCGATGGCTACAGGTTTTCCTATTCCTGGCAGTTACAGTATTCCGCAACAATGCACAAACCAGCACCTTTCGGAAAATTTCCAGTTTTCTCCAGTGTCGTCGGTCACTTTAAGTGATCAATCACACATGAATGCCCAAGGTCAGTAGGATTACCAGAAAGCTATTTTTATTTGAATGGGTCGAAGGAACCAGAGTGTCCAAATGCTATGGATGTGATGGGTTATTCAAAACCCCCCGACTCATCGCCCGGATGATTTGATCATTGTTTGCCGCGATATGCGAGAGTACAGAGACAGGTTAACTGGACAACGACAAAAGAGTAACACTGTTCAGAACGTGCATTTCCACCTGTACAAGAATGCGTGATAAGAAGATATCCAAACTTTCACGTAGGTCTCCTGAAGATTGATGGCTTTCAAATTAATCACCTGCAACCAGACACCTCCAGCGTTTAGCTACCAATTTTGGTTGGAATCTCTACCGTTAACGTTTCTACACGCATGAATTCGTTTATTTCAACGATCTAAATAACATAAAGTGGCTCTGATGCAAAGATTAGTGAAACACTTTTTCAGACTGACACATTCTCAGACTGAAACTAGTTAGAAAGGGTTTTTCCACTTATTCCGCATTTTTTATTTGCACGTGCATGCAGGGCTGTCGCTAGAAGCTTAATTGAATTTTACCGTGAGTGAAAACACCGAGCTGATGATGGGACTGTTTCAAATTTTATTCCGTTTTTAGTTCGTTCCATTTGGATACTATTATTGATGTTAATTTTTGAAATTGGGGAAATTTTATATTTAAAAACCTTGTATTACCTTTAATGTGCTAAAACAACCTTGTATTACCTTTTATAAGCTATAGAATGCGATTTTATTGCTGAATGGAAATATATATACAATTACATATAAAGTGGTTTTATATGAACGTGTTTATCAAAAATGCACAATTCAAGTTAATGTTGATGTAAAAATTCCGAAGATTCTCATTCCAGGTTTTAAAGATTCCGGAGATTCTAATTCCGGGTTTTAAAGATTCCGGAGATTCTCGTTCCGGGTTTTAAAGATTCCGGAGATTCTCGTTCCGGGTTTTAAAGATTCCGGAGATTCTAATTCCGGGTTTTAAAGATTCCGGAGATTCTCGTTCCGGGTTTTAAAGATTCCGGAGATTTCCATTCAGGGTTTTAAAGATTCCGGAGATTCTCGTTCCGGGTTTTAAAGATTCCGGAGATTCTCGTTCCGGGTTTTAAAGATTCCGGAGATTCTCGTTCCGGGTTTTAAAGATTCCGGAGATTCTCGTTCCGGGTTTTAAAGATTCCGGAGATTCTCGTTCCGGGTTTTAAAGATTCCGGAGATTCTCATTCCGGGTTTTAAAGATTCCGGAGATTCTCGTTCCGGGTTTTAAAGATTCCGGAGATTCTCGTTCCGGGTTTTAAAGATTCCGGAGATTCTAATTCCGGGTTTTAAAGATTCCGGAGATTCTCGTTCCGGGTTTTAAAGATTCCGGAGATTTCCATTCCGGGTTTTAAAGATTCCGGAGATTCTCGTTCCGGGTTTTAAAGATTCCGGAGATTCTCGTTCCGGGTTTTAAAGATTCCGGAGATTCTCGTTCCGGGTTTTAAAGATTCCGGAGATTCTCATTCCGGGTTTTAAAGATTCCGGAGATTCTCGTTCCGGGTTTTAAAGATTCCGGAGATTCTCGTTCCGGGTTTTAAAGATTCCGGAGATTCTCGTTCCGGGTTTTAAAGATTCCGGAGATTCTAATTCCGGGTTTTTAAAGATTCCGGAGATTCTCGTTCCGGGTTTTAAAGATTCCGGAGATTTCCATTCAGGGTTTTAAAGATTCCGGAGATTCTCGTTCCGGGTTTTAAAGATTCCGGAGATTCTCGTTCCGGGTTTTAAAGATTCCGGAGATTCTAATTCCGGGTTTTAAAGATTCCGGAGATTCTCGTTCCGGGTTTTAAAGATTCCGGAGATTTCCATTCAGGGTTTTAAAGATTCCGGAGATTCTCGTTCCGGGTTTTAAAGATTCCGGAGATTCTCGTTCCGGGTTTTAAAGATTCCGGAGATTCTCGTTCCGGGTTTTAAAGATTCCGGAGATTCTCGTTCCGGGTTTTAAAGATTCCGGAGATTCTCGTTCCGGGTTTTAAAGATTCCGGAGATTCTCATTCCGGGTTTTAAAGATTCCGGAGATTCTCGTTCCGGGTTTTAAAGATTCCGGAGATTCTCGTTCCGGGTTTTAAAGATTCCGGAGATTCTAATTCCGGGTTTTAAAGATTCCGGAGATTCTCGTTCCGGGTTTTAAAGATTCCGGAGATTTCCATTCCGGGTTTTAAAGATTCCGGAGATTCTCGTTCCGGGTTTTAAAGATTCCGGAGATTCTCGTTCCGGGTTTTAAAGATTCCGGAGATTCTCGTTCCGGGTTTTAAAGATTCCGGAGATTCTCATTCCGGGTTTTAAAGATTCCGGAGATTCTCGTTCCGGGTTTTAAAGATTCCGGAGATTCTCGTTCCGGGTTTTAAAGATTCCGTTCCCCGTTCCCCGTTCCTGGTTCCCCGTTCCTTGATTCCCCGTTCCTGGTTTTAAAGATAGCCCGCATCGATTGCCACCAGTGATTAATGTTCTTGCATATTTAAATAGTTGCATTTTTTTTTGAGACACCCTGTATTCATGTTGTGCAAGATTAATTTCTTTTCAAACATTCTTTTCAACGCTGCATGATACTCAGCCCGGAGACAATTAAATCTGCAGGGGTCGGTTGTATCAAGCCCGTTTAGCTTCAACGGCGGTTAAGTTCAAACAGAAAGCATGTCTATCGTTTTATTCAACAAGCAAACTAAATGCTTTTAACCTAAATACGACGATACTGTTTACAACTACATATTCAGTGCATGATATTCAAGTTGACTCATTCAAGAGAGATGTAAGAGTGTTATTCAATTCTGACTTATCCATCGTTTAAGCTAAACGGACTTGATACAACCGACCCCAGATGTTATTCCTCTTTCTATTGAGGAGCATGCTATGGAGGGTGCGTAAGGAAGATGAGGAATTTTTCTCCGTTTTTAAAAAAATTCGCGTCCACACGAAGCGTATTCGAATCGTTTTTGCCCGTCCACACGTAAACGCTAAAACGAAGGAAATTTAATAGCGCTTGGCGTGGAGCATGCGCATTTCCAAGTAATATGAGCGCTTCCAAACGATCGCAGGGCTCGAATGCCGATAATTTACACGCGCCTAGATAACAACTATGTTAATTTGGCAGAATTTAAAAACAATTCCGCGTATTTGCTTTGGGTTCGCTTTATGCTCGCTCTTTCTTGAATTAAAATGACTAAATCAACAAAATCTTCGTGGTCTAGCTGGTGAGACGTACCTTTATTATATTGCTTCGGGAAGCAACTTCATCATACTGCAACTCTGTGCAGGTTTAGCTAGTAACATGAAGCTGAATGCATGCTATTAGACTTGAAATTATGAAATAGGCCAAAGTAAAACAGCCAAGCAATTTTAGTTCACCATCTTGAAGAGATACAAAACACGCGCTGTTACTGGCCCGTTATAGACTGGATCCGATTATAAACGTTATCGAATTCGAAAACCTCCGTTTTTGTCCATCCACACGTAAACACGAAATGATGCTAGTTTCTTGAGATAGCCTAAAGTTTTATTGGCTCGCTAGTCTTGCGGAGTTAATATTTCGTAGGATAGGCTAATGTATCGCGGAATTCGCGAGGATGGTCACGAAAGTAACCATTTCAACAGATAGGCCGCGAAGGAAAAACTCAACTCTTTACCCTTGCTACTATATTTCTTACTTACTCAGAGATATCAGTAGATAAGTTAGAATTATGGAACTATTTATTGCACAGTACGTCAGAACTATCGTACAGCGCACTCGTTCAGACTTTTCTGAACAGGCCTTTCTATCAACACGACCACCCCCTCCCCTCTCCCCCTCTCCCCTCATCTCTCTCCCTCAGGCCAAAATTTTGCGTACGATTCCTCAAAACAGTAAAGTAAAACCTTTCTTATCAATGTACTCACGTATTCTTGTTGCAATGCTCCTTGGGCGTTTCCAGGACCACTTTTCGGAAGAGTCCGCTACCCACGACTGAATGTACGAGATTGCTTTTTCTGGAATCATCGACTGTTTTCTCTTCAATAATTGACTATATTATATCACACAAAATACTATTTTACTATTTTACAACCCCGAGGCAGAGATGGGGTTTAGGGACGCTAATAACGGAGAGAGGAGGGGGCCAAAGGTGGAATAGGGATGCTAACGAAGAGAGGGAGGGCGGAGGTGATATAGGAGGTCCGGAGGAATTGACCGTTTTGTCAGGAATTGAGAGATAAGACATAATAGCTGTACTGATAATATAAGAAGGGGGACTAATGGGGAGAAAGACAAGAGATGACTTGGGATAGATATGGACAGATAGGGAGGTGGCAGGCGGAGGACAGTTGGGAGAAACGATTGGGGGAAGATGCACAGCAATCCCAATGCAACTAAATCTGTAAACTGATAATCTTAAATAAAGTAAAATAACGTTTTATTAATATATATTTATTTTTAAACAACTAACACCCACATCTAACTGAAAAACTGCTTATTTTTATTACCATGTGGTAAGCCATGATGCAACACTCAGCCAGACGCAGCCATAGTCTTGGATTGGATTGATAGACTTGCACAGACTCAATAAGACAATCAAAAGCAAGCAGAGGCCGGCCATCATGCAACATTTGAACGCCAAGATTGTACAGCAAATGGTAACGACAGTTGAGCGATAATGTACATAGCGGCCTGCCGTTCAGCGGGTTGCCTTGAAAAGGAAGGACAAAAGAGATGTTTGGGATTCTTTTGGTACCATCTGGCAAGATTTAGTGGAAGTGTACTAAGGGGTGTGCAGATTGTACAGAGGGCAGTAAAGATTTCCATGGGGTGTGGAATTCCCAGGGGGTTTGTGTGTGTGCAGATTCACCCGGGGGTGCATTGCCACCAGCACTGCAAATCATGTAAAAATGTGATGGATCTGTTGGGAGTTTTTGGATGCTTTTCTTCGGGTATTTGAAAATATGAAAAACAAAAATCAAGGACTTCTTAACATTAAACCCTGTGAAGGCTGTTGAAGGCTTAGGCACTTACTTTTATCAGCTGAAATTAAAGCAAGAGCTTTCTCGTTCTCTGCAATGGCACGACAGAAATAGAAGGATGCCAGGTTGTACTTTTGCATTTGAAAATGAAGACAGCCCAGATTATTGAAGTACATTGCGGAGATTGATTCCCCAGTTTTTAAAACTTGATTGTCTTTAGAAGCACTGTTCAGGATTTTCACTGCTTTCCTTTCATTATGACGAACATATTCAAAATTGCTTTTGATGAAAAGCCCTTCAGTGTCCTGTAGGAAAATACCATATGAATGTTCAGTAGGCTATTTGGTGAAGGACTAATAGGGCTGGGGGTACATTGCAGAAGGAGCACAGCACTGTTTGATTTAGCTACTAGCATGGGTGAAAAGTTGGGAAAAGGGGGTGAAGTGGGGAAATCCTAAATTTGATAAAGTAAAAGTTGTTACACACTTGTACGTACCATGTTGTTGACATTCATGATGGTTTTGATCTCTTTCTTACAAGCTTTTATAGATTTCTGAAGCAAGTGCACTCTTGCCTTGTACTAAATACAACAAACCATCATACAGTTAGCCTAGCCTGACACCCTGGGTCACGTATATACTCCAGGCAATGGGCAATCTTAGGAAACCAAACAAAACACCTCCCCCCCCCCACTTACCAGTGTGTAGTTTGACTTACAAACTGCACTATCAGGAAAACCAACCTACCTTGTGTAATCTTAGTTTCTGTTCATCATCTGGTTGAGGGATGTCAGTCTCTGGTTTCTTTATCCCATCTTCATTGCCATTCTTAGAAAAATATGTATATAAAATTAGCAAGGAGAAACCATCTCTTAGAAATCTTAGAATTTGTAAATATAGTCAAGGGTGATACAATCCCCTAGAAATCCTTGAAGCAGGTTCAAGAACAACCACAAATTAATTTGTGTTTGAAAACTGGCCATGGGAATAATAGTTAATTAATGATGAATCAAATAGTTGGTTTTACACTTCAAACATATTTAAAAATTATTTCATTATCAGTGTGCCAAACAAGATACCTCTGAAGCTTGTTTTGTCGGGTCATACAGAAGTTTTTCCAGTGAATTTAAAACTGCGGTAGCTTTTTCTGTCTATATAAAAGCAAGAGATCGACATGAGTTGAATTTTTTACATGCTTCAACAGCTTGTGAAGTTTCGTGAAAATTTATATAAAATATCACAACTGAAAATATATGAATACCTGGTATGTGATAAGGTAAACTTCAACAAGAAGAAAACACACATTCTGGGCAAGGTTTTTATCTGAAGAAACAAAGTGTTGTAAGTACATAGGAATGCTTGCAGTAGAAAATTCATAGATGAGACAGTGCTGGGTTAGCTACTTCACAGTCACTAAACACATCCCAAAAATATAGGTTGATGAGCTAGTGTAGCTGGACAAACATATGTGTGCATCAACCTACCTAGAGATTCAACTATTTTGAAAAGTCTTTCTAAGTTTCGCAAAGAATCAACATACTTCTTCACCTAAATACAAAACAAATAATATCACAAAAATACAAAACAAATAATATCACAAACTGCTGTTAATGACAGGTAATGATATTTCTGAAACAAAAGCTGATAGAAAATATTGGACACATACATAAAAACAGTAAACAGCTCTGTTGTAAAGCAAAACTGCTTTTTCCACATCCAAGGCTTCAGAGTTGGCCTCTTGGTCGCTTGAATTTTTGTGGTTCATCTGTAAAAAACATTACCAAAAACACTGATTATGATATATACAGACCCGTGGAACAACAACTAGTATATAAAAGCACTTTCAGCAAAACCTGTTTGAGATATACGTCCAGGTATAGATACCTTCTTTTTAAGGCCATTTAAAGCTTTCAATAAGTCATCAGTTCTTTCACACCCTGATTTGTAAAACTCTGCCACAGCCTTGTTATGCAAAACTTTTGTATCTTTTGGTCGGAGCTCCTCCAGTTTGGACAGACTGCTAAGGCAAGCATCGTAATTAGCTGCTTCAAATTGCTGCAGAGCTTTTTGAGCAAAATCTTGCTCTTGATCCGAGAAATCAGGGGTGCCACTTCCCCTACGCTCTTCACTGGGCTCCTCTTTTCCTTCAGATGCCATGGATAAAACCTACAAAGTATAATTCATTATATATGCTTTGCCAATCTCACACAACCGTACCATGACAAATGCCAGGAATACTGAAATTACAAGGTGGATTTACTTGGAGTCAACCCCCTCTTCACAGCTGGTTCTTATTCTACCTTACAGTATACCTGGCAGCTAGTGGTTTTTCATTGGAAAGTAAAATGATCAGCTACAATCATTTCATCTAAGAATTTGCATTATTCAATGGTGATCATATACATGTAGATAATCAGCACTGGCGTAACTTGGGGGTATCAGGGTGTCAAGTGACAAGGGACCCCAAACTTTAGGGCCCATTGGATATATAAATACCATCATCCAGCCTATTTCTAGTGGAGGAGAGGGAGGCCTCAAATGGTTCGTTGACAGAGGGACCCTATTGGTTGCGTTACACCACTGTAGTAGATACAAAATGAAGTTTGCTCAAAGTATCTACCATCACAAAATTACAACTTACTACAAAATCTGGCTGAAAACTAGACTCAGTTTAAATAGCTAAGAGCAGCTTCATTTGGTGGCTCATGTGATAAAACAATTGGATAGGGATAGCACACATACGTTGCCTATTTGCACATGAACATTCTGCCACCAGTTTATACCTGAACAAAACTGCTGGAAAACTGCTTTTAACTATTTCTAGGTGATTCAGTTTCAGGGTTTAATCAAAATCATAGAGACTTTATATAGGAGAGGTTAAAAGTCGTGGTAAGTACATTCAACAAATGTTCAAACATTGCAATTAACCTCAACTGGATGAGAAAATAAATCTCACCAAAAAAACATATTTAACGTGTTTACAGCTACAAAATAACCCCTACCTTAAAATTTTCAAGCGTATTTTACAACTAAACAAACCAAATATTTCATTTATAAATGTTGTTTTAAAAAACCGCGCGGCAGGGCTCTACACTGGGAGAATGGGTACTACAGCTAAGTTCTCTAAGTAACTTCTGAGTAACTGTTCTCTAAGAAAGCTTCTCTTTTTCGTAGACCTTACAGATTGTGCTAGTAAATATCTAAAAGATTGCTTTAAAATCTACTAAAAAGTTGCTCAAAAGTACATTAAAAAAGCTATTCCTAAGTGGGAGGATGGCAACCATGAGTGCAAACTATTATTCGTGATGATTGAAAATTTTGCCAAATTTGACCCGTCCTGATGGAGGTGGTTCGTCCAATTTTGGAAAGATTTTCAAAACACCACTCGTACTATCAGTCAGGAATTGTACGCATGATTACCTACTGAAATGAAGTATCGTATATTCAAATGAAAGAAAAAAATTAATATTCATTCATGTTGAATAATCATTTGCATGGCATCATCATAATAACTTGATACAGTTCAGCAATGGTACACGTTAACGAGTTTAATTTCGTTTATTTCACCGGCCATTTTGTCTTTTGATGATCGTTGGCACGAAAGCCGAGTTGAGTGCTAGTGTTAGGTTCTACAATGAAAACATCCATATGTTTCGTGTTCCTAAGTGCAATTTTGTTGTCGGGAATAATTTGTGGACAAGGTTAGACTAATACTATCAAGTACAGGTTTATTCAGGCAGATACCGAATATTAAAAGTAATGTAATTTAGTAATAAATTATATGTCAGCCTAAATCCTAAGGCTATAGTGCACTATTGCTATAGTGTACATTTTTGTCCCTTTGCAGGCCATAAGATTGTCGAGCATAGACATGGTCACAGAAATTACACTCATATTTCAAAAGGTTTGCCATTTGACTTGTAGTATGTGAATATTGCCGTGTGTAATGTCAACGAACGTTGATACAGAGACATGTCTTGTACCTAGAATCTATGGTAAACTGTATTCGTTACCAGTAATACCATATAGCAGATTAAGCGGTTTGAACTATGGGATACAAAGCCAAGGTGCCCAAGCTGTGCATCTAGATAAACAAGAGTGAAAATTGCACTTTGGTATAAAGCCATTTTCAATATATTTCGCAGACACAATGTATTTTTTCAGTGATTTTTTCATTCAAACTTCACCCCACTTAAGGCCTGTTTACACTTGCAATTTTTCCTGCGATTTTCTTCCTTTCATAGATGTAAACGAGTGAATTAGTTAGTGATGTTGAAATAAGAGCTCTTATACATGATCATTGAGGTCAATGTACATGATCAGTGGCGTACGGGAGACGATAATTGGGGGGGGGCACATATTCATATATTCATGTTAACAGACCTGTGAAGACAGTAGATTTGAAAGAAATTAATCTTGCACAACATGAATATTTGCATAAATATATGAATATGTACGCCACTGTACATGATAGCTATATTGCTATATACATACATCAGAGCATTCGTAACTAACTACTCGTTCACATCCATCAAAAGAAGAAAATCGCACCGATAAAATCTCAGCAAAAATCGCAAGTGTAAACGGGCCTTAAAGTCATGATTTTGTCCTTGATCTTCCTTCCAGCTCAATATCATCGGATGTGGCGAAACATGTGGACCACGAGTATTTTTGCGATACTCTTCGCCTCGTTCACTGTGTTATTGTTGTTGAAACTCTGTCAGGAGATTGTACGAACCAAAGGGATTATCAATAGGTGTAGTGTACAATAGTTTGTAAAAAAATGAGTTCAAAGTTTATATATTTAACGGTGCTATTATGGTTTAAAGACATAAGAAGTATGTCTTTGTAAATTAAAGCATTCAGTGTAAAACTGTTTAATGATTTATTTTACTTTTTTAATATCTCGTGTTGTTTTTGACATGATTGCACTCCAAAGCTGAGTAAACTTGATACAAGAGGTTCGTGACCGCTAACAGCAAAGGAGTGTTCAGCTGGGAAAAACGTAATGACGTAGAGTTGCAAATTCTTGTTGAAACAATCTTCTCGGTTGCTATAAACACGAGGCTAAACAAAAGACAAGTTCACTTGCTTTGTTAAAAAAAATTGGAACGCACCCTACATTCCTTCTTCTTTTGGCTCGTTCCTGCATGTCCACCCTTGCAAGAGTTTTGGCAATTCTTTCTTAGTCTTTATATCCTAATGCCGGTCAACCACACGAACTAACAAAAATTTTCTCCACTTTCCTCCATTTGTCGGTGAAATGTCAAGGGAAATGGAAAACCGGGGGTGACCATTGACCACGCAAATTTTGACAACACATGCAGGCTAACTGAATATTTTTCATTTTGACGAGTATAAAAAGAAGACCTTAACGAATGATTGTCAACTGGAGAGTTTGATTACTTTATTCCAGAGATGATATTCTTACATATGTATCGGGTTTGAAGTTCACCTTGGCAGTTGATTGATCAGAATATCGATTGGCAGTTGAGAAAAAAACAGTTGTGTAAATATGAAATAAGATAGTTTGAAAAAACAGTTCTCTGTTTACCAACCTGTTTAAACGTAAATCTATTAGATAAGATTTTATGATTTATAAATCATGCATGGGTGTCATAGTTATTGGACAAAGGTATAGTGCTTAGCAAACATAGTGTTGAGATAGCAACTCCATGCATAGACTCAGTTTGCATGGAGAGTAAGCTTTAAAATTGAGTTTATATTGCAAGAGCAGAGTCCAGCATAGTTAGCCGAAAAAGTTTGCCCAATGTTCCGTGGTTTTTGCTCACTGACAGACTTTGGTCGAAGATGGGATGGAATTATTGGTTGGCCTTGGAAAGCTGTGTAAAATCCTGGGCAACAAAATACACATATTTTTATAATGTTTGGATATTTAGGACGTAATAACACAAAGTTTTCCGATATGCATAAAACAAACACCAATTGATAAAAAAAACAATGGGTGCGAATATTACATTTCACACAAAAGAAAATGCGGATATTAAAATGGCCATAAATCGTTTAGTTATATTGCATGGAAATTGATTTGTAATATAAATTAAGATTGTAGGAGAATATAATCATTTATACCTTATTGCGAAGACGTCCAGTTCATACAACTTGCTGATATATTCGAGCGAAAGGTATGAATTCTTATCGTATTTACAGCTCACTTAGGTGCGAACGTGACTCTGAGTTGAATTAATTTCAAACTCATATTAGACTTTAACTCAGTTAACACTTGACAGTTCTGATTCAGTTCAGTTCAGTTCTGATTCAGTTCAGTTCAGTTCACTTCTGATTCAGTTCAGTTCAGTTCAGTTCAATTCAGTTCAGTTTAGTTCAGATTTAGTTCAGTTCAGTTAAGTTCAGATTCAGTTCATTTTAATTCAGATTCAGTTCAATTTCAGCTCAAATTCAGTTCAGATTCAGTTCCTTTCAGATTCAGTTCAGATTCAGTTCAGCCTAGTTGAGATTCAGTTTAGTTCAGATTCAGTTCAGATTCACATTCATTTTAGTTCCGTCCGCACCAGTCCTGGCAGAGCTGACCAAACATACAACTAGTCCTCCCAAAATTGGAAGTTCTAACTAATAAAACCCTAGCTATAGCATGCTAAACTTGGATCATTTTTCTCTACCCACTATATCGACAATACAGATGATTGTCACTCGATGTTGGAGCCTTATATTCTTACTGGTAACATTGTTTGCCTCATGTGTTCACGTGAGCATCGCGAAGAAAATGCGTCAGCGAAAACGGGATTCATGTGTTTACGAACAACACGTAAATCAATGCAGTACCCCAACAGACTATGTACCGTACCGTGATACATTTGCTACAGCTTGTGATGAACACGATGTTTGCTATTTCTGTGTAAGTAACTTATAGAGTTTAGACTATTATAACAATAGTTAATGGTCCCGGGCATAAATCTTTCTTTTGGGACTCAGACCTCATTTTCCCCTCCCATTCACACCTTACCCATTTTCCCCTTTCATTCACATTTCCCCCGTCATCCACACTTTATTCTTTCATTTACATTTTCCCTCATTTGCATTTTCCCTCTCACACTTCACCCCTTCACCCACCGTTTACCCCTCGCCCGCATTTCAACCTTTCATCCGCGCTTTCCCTCTCATCCGCACTTCACCACTATTATCCGCGTTTCCACTCCGCATTTTGTCCCCGGCTCGTCCGTTTCCTATCATCCAAACGGCATTGCCATGATTCACAATTTATATCTCACCCACCTGCTGCCTCAACCCGCATCCGCATTTCATCCCAATCTGTTTTCATTCGACAGCGTGTAAGGCAATTTAAAATAAACATCACCCACCCCCCCCCCCCTTCACCCCAAACACTTCACTCCTTGCTCAACATTTTCCGCCCTAAATCAATCAGTCCCACCACAAGTATGATGTTGAGGTTCTAGTAGTGAACATGCACAATTCAACGAGAACGAACGAGTAGCCTCATTAACGGAGTGACTCAGTTGTGTGCACTCGTTTAAACTCGCGTGGCTACTGGATGAGACCTTAAATATGAATTTTCGACAAGCATTTAGACGAATGTGATAATTTTATTCCGTTCCAAGCCGATTAGCATAAACAATTCACTGACAAGGAACAAATAAAACTTCAAACCCAGACGACTTGTTAACGGAGAAGTTGAACAATTAGCGTGTCAATTACCGTCATATCTACTATATACAGGGTGAGTAAAAAAAACCTGACACCTTTGAAATTCAAATTAGCTGCGAACTTATTGCTGGAATATGACAATTCCCATGTACATCAACAAAAACGATTTGATAAAACTGTTCATTTTAACTCCCAATGGGAACAAACTTTATGTTTCAGGTTAATTAATATAATATGCATGCTTAGTATACCCATGAAATATTTTAGGCAACTTCTGTCACATTACAGCCGCTATGCGGCTAATTTGAATTTCAAAGGTGTCAGTTTTTTTTACTCACCCTGTATTGCAGTATATTTTAAGCATGCACTCTTGAGAGTTGTGTATAGCCTTTTGCTTGCTATGTAATTAAATGCTTTTAAAATATTCAGCAAACAGCTTTGACTTTGCTACGGACAATGCCTCCTTGTCAAGTTGTAAGGTTAGGAAACGAAGAAAGGAGTATAATTTTAAGGCCGCAAGGGCTACCAATTTGTTGAAACTCTCAATTAACAAGGCGGATGATTGCAACAAAGGGTTTATCTCATCGTTTAATACTATGTAGTTTTCTTCCGATATTTCAATACTTGCTCTAATCGCAGGTAAGTATACAGAAAATAAAAACTGAATAAAAACTGTGAACAAGTCATCAAGTGCAAAGCAGTCGCGGTTGCTTCTAAGTCATCCATCTTTGAAAAAAATTGCGTTGCTTTGAAAGCACTTTAACCGTATGAATGTGTATAAAGGGATGAATCCCCAAAGAAAACACAGCATAATCATTTCGACATTATTTTCATTATCCAAGATCTTTGTAACTATGTATTTATAAATGTGCACAAGCAGTTTGGTACAAATGTGTTTTGTTATGATATATTAACATATTAAACACTTATTAACATAACTGCATAGTCGTTCGTTCTCGTTGAATTGTGCATGTTCACTACTACTACTAGTAAGACTTCTTTTCAATTTCGTGGCCAATAAATTATACTCCCAATGACAGTTAGATCACGTAAACAAATAATTTGCATTAATTATGTTAGGGTAAGTAAATTTATTCAGAAAAATTGAATGCTAATTTTAGCTTTATTTCCGATGATATTTGCCCTCCACATGCAACGGTGCTATATTACGGCGTGCGCGCTAGTTTCATTCTTACAATTTCATATGAAGTTGCGTACTTGATTTGCATCCACAGCTAATAATTACAAATGTCACTAATTTTTGAATAAATAGCATAGAGAATTTCCATCAGAAGAGCACGGTACAATAGCAACGGTTTCAAATCGGCATATAAATTATAATCATACTCAGGACGTGCTGCACCCGTGGAGTTGACCACAGGTGAAACAGCATATCAAAGAGTCAATACATATACGTGCATGAACCTTGGAAGAGATGGTAGAAAATGCGAAGTCTCGGCCGAGTCGTACGGTCTGTTCTTAACGAACTTAATGAGACCATGTACTTCAAAATGCAATTAGAGATCACCTCAAAAAGAATTTCTGCGGAAATATGAAAAGAAAATAAATAAAGAGTCGTAATCAAAAGACGTTGCCATAATCCATTCTGACTACGAAAACGTAAACGTGAAAACAAAGTGGATATAAAAGACACACCTTTCATTTTTGACAAGTGTTTTAATTGGGATTAACATACTCAGTTCATTTTCTTGAAGCTTTCTCGTGATGTTAGCCTTCAGACGGCATAAAAGACAATTCACTGCATTGTTTTTTTCTATATTCTCAGTTTATTGCATATTGTCAACTTTTATTAAACGAATGAATTTCAACTCGACCGCAAATGAGCCGTTTAAAATGGTCAACGAATATCACCCGTTTGTTGATTTCAAATTTGTGATACCAGAAATTTCTCCAAAGTTTGATGAGACGTCGAATATATTCATGATGGTGTTAGTCAATTCTGGTGCCAGAGGAGATGAGTTCAGAAAACGTCGCGAGGCCATCCGACAAACCTGGGGAAATCAAAGTAACTGCGAACAACGTAAAGCTTCGCAAGATGAAAGATTAAAACACTTAAGATGGCTGCTCGTATTTGTTGTTGGAAAAGCAGGAACTGGAACGAACGACGATGAATTGAATATGGCTGAAGCTCGACAACACAACGATATGTTGATTGGAAATATCACAGACAACTATATTAACAATATTATCAAGTTTTACATGGGTCAGGTTTGGGCGAGTAGATTTGATGTAAAATACACGATGAAAACAGACGACGATGTTTACGTGCGTATACCACGCGTGTTGGAGTATCTTGTGAATGCGAATTTTCCAAGACCATTCTATGGGGGTCGGATAAACCCCCCTAGTAAGGTAGACCGCAAAATCGATGGGAAATGGGCAATAAGTCATAAGTATTTCGACGAAGCATATTTCCCACGCATGAACTATGGTGGATTCTTTATTTTATCGAGCGACCTTCTCGGTAAATTGACCAACTATGTGTACAAAAGAAAACCGTTTCACGTCGACGACGCATACGTTGGTGTGGCCATGAGAGACTTTAATATCAAACCATCAAAGATCGAGTCGTTTCACTTGGTTCAAAGAGAACCATGGCGTGCTCGTCTTAGGACTTTGAGAAACTGCGAAATTTTAAGTTGGAGTGCACTTGGACATACGATGAGTCCTCGCGATATCAAAGGTTTCCACGAACGGTTCGAGTCTCTTGTATGTACGGATATCCCACTGGATACCGAGTACCATCGCTGCATCACAACTGCCGTTTACCTCTGGTTGAAAACTGGCGTTTTATGGTTGAAAAGCAATATAATGAACTGATGGTGACGGTTGATTTTATGATTGCGGATTAATTGAAAATAAAAAAGTGTGTTTAATTGAAAATAAAAAAATGTGTAACCATAACAGAAGTTGATTTGAACCCGGCGTATGCTGTTCACACACTAGTTATAGCAAAACCCGACATTGCGGTGGCATGTCGAAATTACTGACTATATAAATACGGATATACATGGATGAGTTACACTACACTTAACGATTTAAAATAAACACATATTACTGCATGTTCTACAAGACTGCCGTACGGACGGGAGTCTGTTTTATAAAAGGAAGTAGTTGTCAATCACTCTTTTAAATCACTTAGGGGCAAGTGGGACTTAGGCCCTTAAAGCGCTACTGAGTTCGACCTAATAGCTTAGTTCCAGTACTGGAGATAAAGTGGGTTTATTTGCGCTCAAACAAAACTGGAAATGCAAAAGTCAGGTCAAAGTGATTTATTTGTAGATACTACTTCTCAGGTGTTGCTTTAAAACGCGAAAACCAAGTGGATATAGAACACACACCTTTCATTTTTGACAAGTATTGTATTTGGGATAACATAACTCAGTTCATTTTTTTGAAGCTTTCTCGTGATGTTAGCCTTCGCACGTAATAAAAGACAATTCACTGCATTGTTTTTTTCTATATTCTCAGTTTATTGCATATTGTCGGCTTTTATTAAACGAATGCATTTCAACTCGACCGCAAATGAGCCGTTTAAAATGGTCAACGAGTATCACCCGTTTGTTGATTTCAAATTTGTGATACCGGAAATTTCTCCAAAGTTTGATGAGACGTCGAATATATTCATGATGGTGTTGGTCAATTCTGGTGCCAAAGGAGATGAGTTCAGAAAACGTCGCGAGGCCATCCGACAAACCTGGGGAAATCGGGAAAACTGCGAACAACGTAAAGCTTCGCAAGATGAAAGATTAAAACACTTAAGATGGCAGCTCGTATTTGTTGTTGGAAAAGCAGGAACTGGAACGAACGACGATGAATTGAATATGGCTGAAGCTCGACAACACAACGATATGTTGATTGGAAATATCACAGACAACTACATTAACAATATTATCAAGTTTTACATGGGACAGGTTTGGGCGAGTAGATTTGATGTAAAATACACGATGAAAACAGACGACGATGTTTACGTGCGTATACCACGCGTGTTGGAGTATCTTGTGAATGCGAATTTTCCAAGACCATTCTATGGGGGTCGGATAAACCCCCCTAGTAAGGTAGACCGCAAAATCGATGGGAAATGGGCAATAAGTCATAAGTATTTCGACGAAGCATATTTCCCACGCATGAACTATGGTGGATTCTTTATTTTATCGAGCGACCTTCTCGGTAAATTGACCAACTATGTCTACAAAAGAAAACCGTTTCACGTCGACGACGCATACGTTGGTGTGGCCATGAGAGACTTTAATATCAAACCATCAAAGATCGAGTCGTTTCACTTGGTTCAAAGAGAACCATGGCGTGCTCGTCTTAGGACTTTGAGAAACTGCGAAATTTTAAGTTGGAGTGCACTTGGACATACGATGAGTCCTCGCGATATCAAAGGTTTCCACGAACGGTTCGAGTCTCTTGTGTGTACGGATATCCCACTGGATACCGAGTACCATCGCTGCATTCACAACTAGTGTTTAGTTCTGGTTGAAAACTGGCGTTTTATGGTTGAAAAGCAATATAATGATAACTGATAGTGATAGTTGATTTTATGATTGGGGATTAATTGAAAATAAAAAAAAATGTATAACCATACAGCAGAAGTTGATTTGAACCCGGCGTATGCTGTTTACACACTAGTTATAGCAAAACCCGACATTGAGGTGGCATGTCGAAATTACTGACTATCTGTTGGATGGTAGAATGTCGAAGTAAAAGATTTAGCTAGCCCGGGAAATTAATTTTATGCACACTGAACATCGATTTACATGACATGAGGACGTTTTAACGAATCAGTTCACGTGTATACTGTTACATATACCTTTGATGATTTAGCTATGCAAAAAAAATCTACTGTAATAAAGGTGGTTATATACATTACTATATAAATACGGATATAAACATGGATGAGTTACACTACACTTAACGATTTAAAATAAACACATATTACTGCATGTTCTACAAGACTGCCGTACGGACGGGAGTCTGTTTTATAAAAAGAAGAAGTTGTGAATCACTCTTTTAAATCACTTAGGGCCAAGTAGGACTTAGGCCCTTAAAGTGCTACTGCGACGCGAATTCTGACCTCGTTTTTATTGGCCTAAAAAATTCTTCAGTTATTTAGCACTATATTTGAAGTTTTATAAGTATAGTGCCGCTAGCCTTTCGAACAATCTTCCGTCTGAAGCCAAGCAAGCTGATTCAATATTCGAAATCAAAATGAAAAGTCACAACTTTTGAGTTTTAATTCCGGAAATCGCGAGAAATCTAAAGTTCGACCTAATAGCCTAGTTCCAGTACTGGAGATAAAGTGGGTTTATTTGCGCTCAAACCAAACTGGAAATGCAAAAGTCAGTTCAAAAGTGATTTATTTGTAGCTACTACTTCTCACCAGGTGATCTCGCGCTCATGTTTCAGCCAATCAGCGCCCAGAAATTATGTGAAAGTAGAAATTCATTTTCTTAAAATTTATACGCAAGTTATAAATTTGCGGTTAATAGAGTAATATGTTCTAGAAGGTCCTATATTTCATCCTACATATGGACCATCTCTGGTCTAGCTGTCATAGTTATCGCATGCACTAATTTTAGCCCGGGAAGGTCAAGGCCCCAATAGAACAAGGCAGCCTTTACCAGCCATGTTAATAATTATAAAGTCCAAAATCTGAACGAACTCTGGCATCTTAGCATGTGAACAACGTATGCAAACTTGTGTTACGGCCAATCGAATCTCCCCTGACGGTCTTTCCGTTCATTCCCTTTATTTTATCGAGCGACCTTCTCGGTAAATTGACCAACTATGTGTACAAAAGAAAACAGTTTCACGTCGACGACGCATACGTTGGTGTGGCCATGAGAGACTTTAATATCAAACCATCAAAGATCGAGTCATTTCACTTGGTTCAAAGAGAACCATGGCGTGCTCGTCTTAGGACTTTGAGAAACTGCGAAATTTTAAGTTGGAGTGCGCTTGGACATACGATGAGTCCTCGCGATATCAAAGGTTTCCACAAACGGTTCGAGTCTCTTGTGTGCACGGATATCCCACTGGATACCGAGTACCATCGCTGCATTCACAACTGGTGTTTACCTCTGGTTGAAAACTGGCGTTTTATGGTTGAAAAGGAATATAATGAACTGATAGTGATAGTTGATTTTATATGATTGGGGATTATTTGAAAATAAAAAAATGTGTAACCATAGCAGAAGTTGATTTGAACCCGGCGTTTACACACTAGTTATAGCAAAAACCGACATTGAGATGGCAGGTCGAAATTACTGACTATCTGTTGGATGGTAGAATGTCGAAGTAAAAGATTTAGCTAGCGCGGGAAACTAATTTTCATGCACACTGAACATCGATTTACATGACATGAGGACGTTTTAACGAATAAAACATTACATAAACCTTTGATGATGTAGCTATACAAAAAAATCTACTGTAATAAAGGTGGTTATATACATTACTATATAAATACAGATATACATGGATGAGTTACACTACACTTAACGATTTAAAATAAACACATATTACTGCATGTTCTACAAGACTGCCGTACGGACGGGAGTCTGTTTTATAAACGGAAGAAGTTGTGAATCACTCTTTTAAATCACTTAGGGCCAAGTGGGACTTAGGCCCTTAAAGTGCTACTGCGACGCAATTTCTCACCTCATTTTTATTGGCCTAAAGAATTCTTCAGTTATTTAGCACTATATTTTTTAGCACTATATTTGAAGTTTTATAAGTATAGTGCCGTCAGCCTTTCGAACAATCTTCCGTCTGAAGCCAAGCAAGCTGATTCAATATTCGAAATCCAAATGAAAAGTCACAACTTTTGAGTTTTAATTCCGGAAATCGCGAGAAATCTAAAGTTAGACCTTATAGCTTAGTTCCAGTACTGGAGATAAAGTGGGTTTATTTGCGCTCAAACAAAACTGGAAATGCAAAAGTCAGGTCAAAAGTGTTTATTTGTAGATACTACGTCTCAGGTATTGCTTTAAAACGTGAAAACAAAGTGGATATAGAAGACACACCCTTCATTTTTGACAGGTATTGTAATTGCGATGACATAACTCAGTTCATTCTTTTCCATAGCATATAATTTCTAGCAAGCTTTTTCGTGATGTTAGCCTTGAGACGGCATAAAAGACAATTCACTGCATTGTTTTTTTCTATATGCTCAGTTTATTGCATATTGTCGACTTTTATTAAACGAATGCATTTCAACTCGACCGCAAATGAGCCGTTTAAAATGGTCAACGAGTATCACCCGTTTGTTGATTTCAAATTTGTGATACCGGAAATTTCTCCAAAGTTTGATGAGACGTCGAATATATTCATGATGGTGTTAGTCAATTCTGGTGCCAAAGGAGATGAGTTCAGAAAACGTCGCGAGGCCATCCGACAAACCTGGGGAAATCGGGAAAACTGCGAACAACGTAAAGCTTCGCAAGATGAAAGATTAAAACACTTAAGATGGCTGCTCGTATTTGTTGTTGGAAAAGCAGGAACTGGAACGAACGACGATGAATTGAATATGGCTGAAGCTCGACAATACAACGATATGTTGATTGGAAATATCACAGACAACTACATTAACAATATTATCAAGTTTTACATGGGTCAGGTTTGGGCGAGTAGATTTGATGTAAAATACACGATGAAAACAGACGACGATGTTTACGTGCGTATACCACGCGTGTTGGAGTATCTTGTGAATGCGAAGTTTCCAAGACCATTCTATGGGGGTCGGATAAACCCCCCTAGTAAGGTAGACCGCAAAATCGATGGGAAATGGGCAATAAGTCATAAGTATTTCGACGAAGCATATTTCCCACGCATGAACTATGGTGGATTCTTTATTTTATCGAGCGACCTTCTCGGTAAATTGACCAACTATGTGTACAAAAGAAAACCGTTTCACGTCGACGACGCATACGTTGGTGTGGCCATGAGAGACTTTAATATCAAACCATCAAAGATCGAGTCGTTTCACTTGGTTCAAAGAGAACCATGGCGTGCTCGTCTTAGGACTTTGAGAAACTGCGAAATTTTAAGCTGGAGTGCGCTTGGACATACGATGAGTCCTCGCGATATTAAAATTTTCCACGAACGGTTCGAGTCTCTTGTATGTACGGATATCCCACTGGATACCGAGTACCATCGCTGCATCACAACTGCCGTTTACCTCTGGTTGAAAACTGGCGTTTTATGGTTGAAAAGGAATATAATGAACTGATGGTGACGGTTGATTTTATGATTGCGGATTAATTGAAAATAAAAAAAATGTGTAACCATAGCAGAAGTTGATTTGAACCCGGCGTTTACACACTAGTTATAGCAAAACTATACAAACTATATACATTACTATATAAATACAGATATACATGGATGAGTTACACTATGTACACTTAACGATTTAAAATAAACACATATTACTGCATGTTCTACAAGACTGCCGTACGGACGAGAGTCTGTTTTATAAAAGGAAGTAGTTGTCAATCACTCTTTTAAATCACTTAGGGGAACGCGGGATGAAAACGTCCCGTCTCGAGACGGGAGGCCCTTAAAGTGCTACTGCGACGCAATTTCTGACCTCATTTTTATTGGCCGAAAGAATTCTTCAGTTATTTAGCACTATATTTGAAGTTTTATAAGTATAGTGCCGTCAGCCTTTCGAACAATCTTCCGTCTGAAGCCAAGCAAGCGGATTCAATATTCGAAATCCAAATGAAAAGTCACAACTTTTGAGTTTTAATTCCGGAAATCGCGAGAAATCTAAAGTTCGACCTGATAGCTTAGTTCCAGTACTGGAGATAAAGTGGGTTTATTTGCGCTCAAACAAAACTGGAAATGCAAAAGTCAGGTCAAAAGTGATTTATTTGTAGATACTAATTCCCTGAACGAACCTTTTGAAAGTAATCTTGGAATTAACAAGACTTGCTTGGGAACAGAACTTGTTTATTTTGTGTGCAAAGACCAAACACAGAAATATTTCGTGTTTCCCAAGCGCTAAGAAAGTTATAACTATTTTCATTTGAAGCTTGTTATATTTTCTGCTTCTGAAATGAGAATTCAGCCACCTTCTACAAGCCTCTTTTGCTATGCTACCAGTTGAGTCTACTTCTCAAAGATTCAAGCGTTTTAGTGTGAATAGTCGAATACGCTACGAAAACGGTAGTGTGAACGCGAATCGATCGATGCGTTTTCGGTCTTGCAAAACCGCATACAAACGAAAACGCACTAGTGTAGACAGGCCCTTAGCATTACCTTTATTGAGATTTCCAATGTAAACAGTCATATTTGCGAAATGAATGAAATGGCCTTTGCTATAATTGTTCAACGTTGATTTACGGTACCGTTTAAATCGTTTCTCATTCAGGAGACAAGATATAGCATCACAAGGAATCAATGTGACGCCGAGTTTCGTAGAAAAATGTACGAGATTTGCGATGGAAATAAACGCAAAAGATTTCTCTGGAGCGCACTTGGAAACCTTTTGACCGGAAACGTTTGCAAGGTAGTATATGTTAGGTTAGGGTTAGACTCTGCGTGGGGATGCAGCAGGTGGGGGGAGGGAAGAAGAGAGAGAAGACAGTGGGGTGGTCATAAACCATGGTGCAACTCTGGGGCCAGCATGTGGGATAGCACTGAGACGAAGAGTGGCGACTTTAAAGGTTAAGAAAGTTATGAAAGAAACCATAGGCATAGAATCTTTTACTACCAGTATCTCAAAAACGTGATTTTCCCGAGTTTATATTAACTTCTGAACCAGTCCAACTGACTGCCAAAATGAATAATTTTGTCCAGTTTGTTGTTGGTACCCAATATATATGGGACAGCTGTTGTCATAATGTCATGTTATCCCAAAGAGTCGCTAAGGACCCCAGATATCTCCAGGTCATACAAGATCTTGTGATTAAATATAATGTTTCTTAATTGTTTCTCAAGGCTGCTGCAGATGTTTACTTTGATGCTGTTGATAATTTTGCACATGATCACTATGAAAATCCATCACCCAGTTGGTGTGAGAAATCCTGTGTACAAGCTCGACTGTCAAAGTACTTTAGTATAGTTGTTTAATGTAATGTTTGAGAGAATTGATGAAATATAAAAGGTGAAGCATTACAATTGAAATTGAAAGCTTTTTTTGTATGAATAAAATAGCACAAGTCTTCTAGGCATACAAAGAAAACTGGCGAGGGAGTTCAGGATCATGTTCCTAACATGCAGACTTAAGTAACGAAAAAAATCTAAAAAGTCCGACTCGAAAAAAGTAAAGTAAAGAAAAAAACTTAAGTCTTTCTAACCACATTCGGAGTAATCAACTAAACTAACGAAAATAATCACAGGATCATATGGATAGGTTTGTCTATCAAGGGTGAGCACTTTGAGCGACATCACACAGTGATATATCTATACAAAATTACAAATGTTAACAATGAGTACCTTTATCATTTTTCAATCTTGTTTTTCATAATTATTGGTTTAGGGCGAGTCTTGAATATAATCTTCTTACGAATTAAAGCCTGAACAGTGTACTCCGTTGAGGTCGACTCCAGCTCCTTTTCAATATAAGACTTCTTTAGCACAGCAAATGGTTTTTCAAGTGACACAATCTTGCCACTTAGAAGGTGATGGCCAATAATTAATAATGGCTGACCCTTGAAATTAGGATACAAATATAAAGGCTATCATTTTTTGAAAGAATCCCCAAAGGAAAGATCTTTGAAATAGACGTGTAAAAGTGTACATTTTGTACGTATTTCCACAAACCTTTCCATCAAAATGTAAATCTCCAATAGGTAGTCCATTATATCCCCCAGTTTGATTACTCTCAAGTATACCTTGCAACTCGATTATCATCCAATCCTTCTCGGCAGGATGACTAAAGAAATAATTAAGTGTTTGAAATATTGAATTTCCTGTTATGAAGTCGATATAATGTAGAATTTATCAATTTAATAATGAGTATTGGTATAATGGTATAATAATTAAGTGTTTGAAATATTGAATTTCCTGTTATGAAGTCGATATAATGTAGAATTTATCAATTTAATAACGAGTATTGGTATAATGGTATTCGGTACCAGCAATCAAATTCGTTATTTTCTCATCTTCTACAACAGAAAGACTTACTAGTTTACGAAAATTTGCACCATATTAATAAAACAAAGAGAAAATGCAGAAATTTGAGTCCAACGAAATCCTCACTCCTCGTCAACGAACTCTAATAATTTTTTTTCAATGTTCACTGCTCCTCGCCGGCGGCCATCTTGATTCGATTTTGGCGCGAAATCTGCGGAAATGCGGAAAATAAAGAAACTTAAAAAATTATAATTTCAAGAGAAAATTATTTGCATTCATTTAATCATTTTGACAGAATCAGATCGTAAAATAACTAAAAAAATATTACTCATTTTGAAGTAAAAAGGGAAAGTGGCAAAAATTGAAAGACATTGCCCACTTTGAGCATAAATATATCTCGCTTTAAGTATAAGAAACTCCATTGTATATTAAAAGTCTTTAGTATACAAATTATGTAACAAAATGGCATCGAAAACTAACCCAAATGAAAAACATAATTTGGACTTGTACTACCAAGAGGCGGTGAATATTGCCAAAATAGCAGGAAAGGTTTGTAGTTTTTTGTCTAGTCATGCACATATAACAAAAATTGATGACCTATCTATTATATTAAATATACCATTTCCATTAGACTCTCTCTAATAAATCTTTTGCAAAAAATAAAAAATTGCAAATGAATCTTTTGCAAATAATCAACTCCTTTGTTCATCTTGGTCGCAGTGTGGCTGCAACGAAGATGCGTTAGTGCATAGCCACCCGAATCATTCATTCTTTTGAGACCCATTTGATTTTAAAAGCAACAAATATTAAACATTTTAAAGCTTGTCCGTGAAGCATTTTACTCTGAGAAAAGAATTGATACAAAGGATCACAAAACCGACCTGGTAACTGAAACTGACCAAGAATCAGAGAGGATCATTAAAAAACACTTCAAAGAGAAATTTCCATCACACAGGTATCTCACGAGTCATGGCAATTCCACAAAATATAACTGAAGTGTAAAACTATCTGCTGTTTGTTGAAGTTGAAAATCAAGGTCTAATTCACACAATATTTTTTAAGCTTTATAGGCGAGGAATCAGTTGCTGGAGGAGAGAAATGCAACTTAACTGACAACCCAACATGGATAATTGATCCTATTGATGGAACAACAAATTTTGTTCATAAGTAAGCTGGATTTGCCCATGTATTTTATATAAATAATTAATTTTACAGCCAGTCCTTAAATATGAATTTTTTTCAGGTTTCCATTCAGTGCCATATCAATTGCACTTGCCATTAACAAAGAGGTATAACAACTGTAGAACGTAGCTGCATGGAAGTCATAGTTGAAGCTGGAAGCTCAATGTTGAACAGACTCATCTGCTTGTTTAAATATAGCTTGTAGTTGGTGTCATTTACAACCCAATTCTGGATGAGATGTTCTCAGCAATCACTGGACATGGTGCTACATGTAATGGCAAACCTATTAAGCCGTCAAATGTAACAGGTATATTGGTGATCACGAGGTCACATACAGAGTTGTCCATGATCAATATGAACCATACATTAGCAAACTAGAAATGTTCTTAGAAGTCACTGTGGTCTTGTATATTCTGTTCATATGTATGTCATCACCGGCCATCTTTGAGTGATTGCTGATTCATATTAACAGATATTCAATAGCCTTTGCATGGTTTTTAGAAATCAACCAAGCTTTGCTGATAACAGAAATAGGAGCAAGCAGAGAGCAGAATAGGATAAATGGAATTATGAAAAACTTACAAAAAATAATTACAGAGCCATACATGGCCAGAGGGTGAGTTACACCTTGATATATGCAATAGTTTTCATTCTAAATGAACACTGCAATTGTACAAAGTGATTAAATGTATACAAAATGCATGAATGGCTGATTTCAGGGATAAATGCCGAATCTTGTTCCTATGACTGATTTCAGGGCTAAATGTCAAGTCTTGTTCCTAATATTTAGCATTCGCTCACTGGGTTCGGCCGCATTGAACATGTGTTACGTCGCAGCTGGAAGAGCTGATGCATATTATGAGTTTGGAATCCACTGTTGGGATATTGCAGCTGGTATTGTTATATTAAAGGAAGCTGGTGGGATGTCCTTCGGGGCTACAGGTCAGTTCCTAAGGTTGCAATATGGTACCAAAGTAATGCAGCAATGTAATGCCACTTGGTCTTCTTCTAGGAGAGCCTGTCGACATAATGGCTAGAGAAATTGTTTGTGCTGGCAGCGAGGTTTTGTGCAAGAAGATCTGTAACGCAATAACAAGAGTACCCCACATCAGAGATTGAAGCTTTCATAAATGAATACCTATATGTGCTATCTTTCTGTAAATTGATACCTATATACTATCCAAATGCAAATAAGTGGACCAAAAGATGACAAAAAGAAGGGGGCATTTGATTCTACTTTGAATGAGATAATACGAAACTTGGAAATAAATTAATGAAATCTTATAGACAACCTCTAAAACTTCTTAATATTTTATGAAAAGATTGTTTTAAAAAAAGTCTGGACATTTTATACTCACACTGTCTTCTATGAACTACTAGTCTTCTATGAATGCACCTTCAAAAGAAAACCTTGCATTGAAACCACGTGCCTGGCATGTGAGAGGTTTCAATGTGATTTCTTCCATCAGGTGAACCTTGTTTTGACTATGGCAACATTTTGAAGCACCAATGTCAATGGGGTGTGCCTCCGTGTTGAAAACATACCCATGGGAATGAGTCCTGCAGTTCAGGCTGTGATCTAAAGTCCTTGCATTGCCATGAAGAAAATTGTCTGTATCAAAAAGCAAGAATAGGTACTTGGTTGTTTCTGCCAGGAAAAATGATTCCATCCTGTCTTGAAGTTCATGTGTTATAATATTCTTCACCTGCAAAGGAGAGAAAAATGTTGAGGACTTTATCAGGTTAGCTGGTAAAAAATCTAGGACCTACTATCCACCCAGTACCATACAGTTGTACAGTACCAAATTATTGAATGAATTTGAAGTAGCATTTTCCCAGTTCCCAAGCATGCAAAATGAGCAGTTTAGAACAGAAAGAAATTACTGAAATAGTGTCTTCAGTAGGGCACAACAGACAAAGATCAACTTACAGTGGCATAACCACACTCAGTCCTGCAACTTGTTTCTATAGAGTGTAGAATATCTCTTCCAACCTCCAAGAAGTAGGGATCCTTAGTGGCTTGGTATAAATACATTGTGCTTTCAATGAGTTCTAAAAGTACACACAAGAGACAGGCTTAATATGTAATATATGTTCAGTACAGACCTGGTTGCATTGATTTCTGATAAGAAATATGCAAGCATTTTCACATGAAGCCCCTGGCAAAGGTCTGTAATATACCTGGTCGGAGAGGATAGGACTCTCTATCTTTAATGGGCAGCCCAGCTGTGATTTGATAAAACTCTGGAGTGAAGCCAAATTTCTTCCAAACACTGTGATACCGTTTCAATGTCTTGGAAGCATTGCCGATATCTCCCCGAAGTGTCTGTGAGACGAAGGGATTAAATATTATTTGTAAAACGTTCTTCAGTACTGTAGAACATGCAAGAACCTAACCAGATGCAGTTGGAAAAAACACAACTCTGGTAAGCAGAAGTGAAAACTTGGTCCACACTCCTCTCCCGCACATATCATCCCCACCCCTCTATCCCTAATGTACAAGATATTGTACAGCCTAGACTATGTCATAATTTCCACAGGTAAGGACAAAAAGATGCACTTAACATCACAATATCCATATATATCACCTGTAACCCTGGCCAGTAAGCATCAAGGGAATGGAACGTCGCCATGGAATATTTCCCCTTAAACATGTTCGCCCAGATGTACCAGTCATCAATTTTGTTGTATTTCACAATTTTCCCATACAGCTCTGAAAAATATTCAGGTGGGATTTTCCAGCTATAATTTGCATCAAAGCTATTAAGAGCAGTTGATAAAATATACCTTCAAACATTCCATGCAATCCTGGAGAATCGAACAGTATAGCTCCTTTAAGCAAGTATTCATAGTACGAGTCAACCCCTGGGCCAATCCCGCTGTCCTCCGCCGTCCATTTGGAAGTTTGTACATCCACATGATTTCCAACCTGAATGAAAAAGCTGTTAAATAAGGCAGGTTTGTTTCAACTTTCAAGTCTCCTCAAAGTTATTGTGATGCAAAGGGAGTATTATTCAATTCACTTGTTGGAAACTCAGGCAAGCCATTCTATGTATGTCTGTTGCCTACCAAACCTAGGTCTGACTTTGCCTTCCAAAGTCCATTCAAAGCTTTCAAAGCTGCATCTTCAAATCTCTGATCACCTTCAATAAAAATATTAAAATATTATACTTTATGTATGAGATATGTTCAGTAGTTGTCACTGCAGTATTCAGTGAAGTCCAAAACTGTAAAAAATAAACAAAAATATTGAAACAGAAAAAAATTTCATATCATCTAATGGCACCAATCTCACTGTTAGATATCATGCAAACTAATAAATGATATATGTGAATGAAGCCTTAAAAGGTACCTTAACTCAAACTTAAGGTATATAAGGTGTATTAAAAGTTATGACATGCAAATGTGAACTTCATTAACTCAATGTTCCTGGCATGCCAAACTTCTCTGAGGGCAGGTCAATAAATAGCAAGATATTTTAAGATATCAACCTGTGAGTTTAGTAAGGGTTCCAAATTCCAAGATGAATGTTCCGACACCAGCCGTGCAGGTGACAGGAGTCTCTCCTTCAGGAACACCATATATAAGATTCACAGTACCATAAGGCATGCCAGTTGCTGTATCAAATGCTACATTTGGGTGCAGAAGATTTCTCTTTAAAATGACCGAGCTATGGCAGGAATGTATTTGAGGTATGTTTACATAATGCACATAATGACAAAAACATGCAAAAGGTTATTGATGGTATTTGGAACCATAACCTGTTTTACGAACCTGGTAGCAATCTCTCAGCAACATCGACAGCCAGCTGTAACAGAGGCCCTTCACATGGCCATCTTGCATCCAGTTGAAAACCAGCCCGGACTGACAAAAGGTGCGCTGATAACAGTCCACCTACAACTATTCCAAAGAAAATTAAATAAAGTTCAGACCTTGCAACTGGATTGGAGCAGTTATACAAGTACCAATGGCATAACAGCTTTACCGGAATTTTATAAACTAATTCTCTACCTCGTATGTTAGTTTCAAAAACAGAGACATTTATATCTCGATCAAAGTCCAGTGTATCAACGAGAAGGCCTGCAACTCTGACAAATTCAGTTTCATTTCCCATCACCTGTGGAGAGAGAAGATTTCCTGGAAATAAATCCACTAAGAAAAGGTGTATTGTGTAGTACTAAAGCTTGTCTTATCTCTTATTGCTCATGGAAAAAATAAAAAGAGTCTTTCTTACCAAAAGTGTGTCAAGAGCATCAATCAAAGTCAATGAATAGCTAAATGCAAAATAAGAGTATTTTATTCCAATAAAGCTCACCCACAATTTAAGCATTAGCCTGAACTACACTATATGTATCATGGTATGATTCAGTCTCATATAGGAGGCATTTGGGGCATACCAAAAACATCACATTGTCAAAATATCATATTGTACCAATGTCATTGCAAAGCATGCAAGAAATATAGACACAAACTCAATTCAATTACCTTCCCCAGGTGTCATGTCCTGCGCATGACACAGGTTTAAGCTCATCATATGGGTAACCATACTTCATGTAGCTGTCATAACCATGATAAAACATTGATCGAACTTTCTCTCTGCAATGACAAACCCCACCTGTCAGTCCAATTACAAATTTTTAGGGTGGTATGTGAGCTCACATAAATATAGCACTGTGACAAACTGTTCATTTTTGGCCATTCGGCCTATTCCAAGTACCCAATTAATCCATTTGTGAATGTGTTTTCTTACATACCCAGGCGGATGGGTAGAAAAAACATTTGCTACTCCGTTGCTATTATAATAATCAAAATATAAAGCAAGAAAGCCTGTTACTTACCTAAGGACCAAAATCTCATCGGTTCTCATTGGATTTCCAAACGACTCCAATATAATAACGAAATACAGCAACAATTTTACAGAAGCCATAATGATTATTATAATACAGTTAACCTTGCAAAAGCTTTATGTGGAATGAATTATCCATCAAATACGTAAATTTGAGCATAACATGTGAATCCCCTGATTTCTTGTCCGCCATGTTCTTTTACGCGAACAGAAGAGGGCCTGGGACTCACTGGATCTTTCGGAATCTTTCAGCTTTTGGTTTATTTTTTTATTTTTTATTTTACAAGATTCGCCAAACATAACGGACAAATTTAGTTTTACAAGATTCGCCAAACATAACGGACAAATTTAGGTTTCTTGGTAACCCAATGGTAACCCAGTCATAACCCAATGGTAACCCATTGGTAACCCTTGAGTAACCGAAGTGGATCAGTATACTTTAATTTACATAGTTCACACAAGGCTGTCATGCGAAAAACAGATTTTAAAACTACCTCCCTTTTGAACATTTTGCTATCTCAGTTCGGTTAATCCAAGTGAGATTAAAGTGTTTTGGAATGGACGAGGTTCTTCCACTCAGAGCGAAACACTTAAACTTGAAAGCAAAAAACACAGTTTTTTGAAATTTTTTAGTACTATTCAGCCAGAAGGAAACGGGCTTGTCAAAAAAGAAACAAGTATATAGTCTATAGATTGATGATTTGACATAGCAAAGCTTTTTAGTCAAAAAATTTTCAGTTTTGACGACATTAGTTGTTATGCAACAGCTTCAGCAAGATCAATTTATGGCCAACTATCGACAGGCGTTGCTGAAGTCTCGTGAAGAATACCTGCCCACGCAGTTATTGGTGATCAACTACTTCCTTTGTGGGGTATGAGAGCAAGTGACAAGTAACTGAGATTTCTTTCCAGTCATTCACGATCCATATTCCACTCTCTGCCATTTTTTCATTCCCCTACGATCTCGCTGGTGTACTCCACCGTAGGGACAAATCCAACTTTCTCCGTCGAAGAATTCTTCTCCTCGATCTCGAGAGCTTGCAAAAGTCGCTTGTTCAATGAACTGCCAATGTCTACAGCTACCTGAATGTGATCAAACGATCTTGAATGGTTGGAAAGTGGTTTCATGTTAGGGCATTCCCTACTTTCCGAGTGTTAAAAACAGCCACAGAGCAACTTTCAGAAGAGTTGACTGTGTGGATAGATGAATTGATTATATACCTCTAACATTTCTGCCATCAACTCAGGTTCAACTGCACTATAACCAAGCCTTTGAATACCACAGATATTTCTATCACCATTCACTGCCACCAACAGCTGACCATCACAGCAGAATTCCTCCTCCATACTAGCGTCAACCACAAAAACACTCTCGATCTAAACATGCAATAAATTCATTAGAACCAGGGAACTTTATCAGTCCAGTTGAAAATTGATCAACAATCTTTTAACCCTACTTACCTTATTCAAAGTGACATATAATGGAATATTTTTTATATCAAGTCGACTGCAATCAAACGGATCATCCGAGAACTCAAGTTCAACCTCACCATCCTCAATATTGACGGTCACATTGGGGATTCTGAAAGATGGAAAATATGAATGATGGAAAGTGAAAAATTAGATGGCCAAAGCAAGTAGCATCCATAACCCAAAACCATATCACCCTAGCTCCCTCCCTCCACCATAACCTTAACCCCCACCCTAATCCCCTTAGTTCTAAGCCCTATCCCCAATTGTAATGATTTGCCGACATTGATCTTATTAACGCTTTGATTGCCACAGATGGAGATTTTCGTTTTTTGATTGATTATCACTTATAATCGATCTGTCTAGACCTCTGGTGGTGAAAGTGTTAACTTACCTTGTGTCATGTAGTGCAGCCTTGACAGCTATTGACAAAGCATCATAAAGGTTACCACCACATTCCAACACCTAATAGGAATAGGTTTCAGAACTTGTAATAACATTACGTAATTATGTAATAACATTAATAACACAAATACTTATCATGAGTCGAGTAATAATTAACTTTCTTTGTCTTACCAAAGCATCAACATATAAAACCCAGCATTGCTGTCCTGATGTTATTGACAATGATTTGAGGTCTAACGCTGATTTATTGCTGCAAGCTCTGTCTAATATTCTGCTCAGTTCTGATGACAACTCCTCGCCACCTCGACCTTCAAATTTCGGTGAAGCGTGGGCAGAACTAGAAGTACATATTAGGTGCATGTAGTCAGCATTGTTCTGGGTGCAATGGTGGTACTTTGATGCACCAACAAATTGCTAAATCATCAAGAACTTGTAAAACTTGCTTTGACAAGGCTAATTTCAAACATGTGACCATGCAAATTGTGTATAGTGTAAAAACAGCCAAAGCCATGCATCTATGCATTCCATTCAATGGAAATGCTAATTTCATTTAATTATACAACAAAAAGGTTGCTGCATGTTTACGGATACAGATTTCACACTTTATTACCACTACCAGTTAACAAAAAATTCAATTCTTCCACAATCAGGATGTCCAAAGGCAGGTTCTCCAATTTCAGCTTTCACACCAACAAGAATGTCTGTTTTGGACTAAAAATAATGATCAATGAAAAACCAGACTTATTCATATTCCCGATTCAAAGTTTGGTACAATACAAATTACCACATTAAAAATTTAATTGTTAGGCACATTCTCAGTAAGTGCAAACGACGTACTAGTCTCAGCCTTGCCGATCCACTTGTATTAGACACAATCCCCGTTTCTATTTCAAAATATCTGTAATCTCTTCTTGCTCTGCCATCCAAGCGAAAGTCGTCAAAAACCCCGTTCTTTATGAACAATTTTTCATCTTTCGACAAGACAACACTGGCCATTTTGAATTTTAGCACCTTCGCATGGGCACAGCCAACCCAAGCAAAGTTAACTTGGTTTTTGAGACTATAAATGGTACAAGTGGTACAGGTTTATTCTTTGTGAAATTGTCTTTAATTAAAAACAGCCAGACCCTTGCGAAACCCTGTCGTAATCTTATATTGAAGTATGACAGCTACAATATTAAAATTGAACTAGAGAAGGACGTTTCAAAGTCGTCTATCTTACGTGTGTTTGTATATTTGAGAGAGAGTCAGGGACTGCGGAGCAGGGTGGCTCGCTGGGTTTTAGCCCCACCAATAATTTTTCCGTAATTAGTCTTTAATTTCGAATATCTTTAGTTCGCTCAAATTTACAAGCAATATTTTTAGCACTTTGTATTTTTGCTTACAAGTATATGCAGTGTATCTTATCTCGAATACTATCGTAACTTTTACTTCTTCAACGTATATTTTAATAACCAATTCAAAGAAATGAGTATTCTAATTTCCAACGATATCTGTCGTAATAAATCCGCCATGTTTACAAATGGATTGAAATTAGTTATGTTCAGTACATATGTTTGGCCAAAATAAAAAAACAGAGACAAAAAGGACAAGCATTAAAACAGCGTGGTTATTCATGTCAAAATATTTGACATAATAACCAAAGCACGGTTATATTTTCTAATAGCTATATTCGACCATGGTCGAATATATCATTCATACCATTCTCCGGTACATTCGACCACGGTCGAATGTGCCGTTTTACCGTAAGTTCGACCATGGTCGAGTGCTTATCCATGTCAAAATATTTGACATCATAACCAAAGCATGGTTATATTGTTTAATGTTTGTATATGAGCACCAACCAAACATGCTAGAAACTTTACATTGGACAAGCATTTGACCATTAAAACAGCGTGGTTATCCATTTCAAAAAATTTGACATCATAACCAAAGCATGGTTATATTGTTTAATGTTTGTATATGAGCGCCAAACATGCTGAAAACTTTACATTGGACAAGCATTTGACCATTAAAACAGCGTGGTTATCCATTTCAAAATATTTGACATCATAACCAAAGCATGGTTATATTGTTTAATGTTTGTATATGAGCGCCAAACATGCTGGAAACTTTACATTGGACAAGCATTTGACCATTAAAACAGCGTGGTTATCCATATCAAAATATTTGACATCATAACCAAAGCATGGTTATTTTGTTTAATGTTAGTATATGAGCGTCAAACATGCTGGAAACTTTACAAAGTATCTATTATTTCTCAATAATCCTAATAGGCAATTACGGCCATTTCAGAGGCCTATGTATATTTCAAAATTTTTCCGGACTCTCCTAGCAGGCGCGCGGTTTTCAGTAAAACACTTCGATTTCCGTGGGTGTGAAGTTGTCACTATCAGCAAACAACTTTCGGGTTTGAGAAGTCCCGGGCTGATATCCTGCTGGTGGTTGGTAGGTGTAACCAAGGTAGCTGTAAGAGTTGCGATTGCTGTTGGCATTGTTGGCGATGTGGAGATCAAATTGAGAGCCTCTACCAAAGATTGCTCCACCAGAAGGATTACAGTAGATCGCGTCTCCATTTCTTCCACTAATGATTGAGCATTTAAACGGTTGCAGGTTGCGTGGGTTTCGTAATGAAAATAAAAAGGATCTATAGGAAGATCTATATTGACGTCGACCTTGGAAAAAAACAAAACCCGGCAAATTAACCGACCAAAACTGCTGCATTTACACTATAAAACACCTAGTTATTATTGTTAATCTATTGATTTTGGTCAGACGTTAAATCAATGTGAATGAAAACAGGGACATTGAGAAATATTTTCCGCATATAACATGCATCACTATATCAACACATCAATTGATCCTTTGATTGATTTGATACATGCAGGCTGCAGTAACGCACGGTTACGGCTAAATCCTTAGTCCTTGCTCTAAATTATTTGTTCATTCTTTGGAGTTGTAGCAGCTGTTTGCTAGTCAGACAAAGTCAGTTAATTTGAATATTGTATTTCGTTTTACTTCAATATGTCTCAGATATTTAATTGCCCGACACAAGAAAGCAAAAAGAACTCAACTCAACCGCGATTGTGGATTAGATTTTAAAAAGATAAACTCATGAATGAAATCTTACCTTCCCAAGTTTGATCAGTGTATCCTCCAAAGATCCAGTTTCCAACTTTCACCAAAACTACTGTTCCTCTTTTACCATCACACAACTGATGAAACTTCTGGCTCTGCCAACCATGGAGCGATGCTCTGTAGCAAAGCTTCAATTTTGATTCTCTATTGTTAAGGAAGCTAATCAAATCTTTTATAAGCTTGTCTTCACCTTTCAAAATCACGCTATCTGGTATCAATGTCACTGGATCAGGCGGAGGAGGACCTATTTCAAATAAAATAATTGTGAACAAAAGCAGGAGAGATATACCTACATACTTAATATAATAGTTATCGTAGCTTACAATTATCCTCTGCCAATTTCTTGAACATATTATAAAAACAAAGTTTTTCCATACAGGATTCTGGATTTGCAAACGTTTTTAAATTTGATGGCTTCTCATTTTGCAGCATTTGAATATCTTCATCGATAACTTTGTGGGCTGTCAACAATTCCTCAAGCTTCGAATTTTCCAACACATCCCTTGTACGCTGAAGCGATTTTTCAACTTTTTCCAGGTAATTTGATATCTTTTCACTCTGAGTGAAAAGGCTTTGACACGCGGGATCGTAGACTTTGTCAACTTCTTGAATTTTCTCCTCCAAAATTTTGTTCATACGATCTTCAACATCTTTCATTACTTTATCTTTCTGAGCGATGTGTTTTAATTTGATATCTTCCGCGGTTTTTTCGTAATTTGCCTTGTTGTTTTTCACACTTTCTAATGCCTGGAATGTTGAACGAAAAAGCTCATTGGCGCATTACACGTTCATACATTCGTCTTGTGCCCGACTGATGTCTTTTGAACGCAATTTTTCCTAAACGTATCGCAGAATAATCGCGTTCAAAATAAATCAGTGGCCATAAGACGAGCATATAAATATACACTCCCCTCTACCTAAATTAAGTTGTCTGGCATGGTATGATGATAACGAAGTATATTTTACTTTTTATATTAATAATCTTAAGTAGCTATTATCGTGATGTGACTACTTTTTACTCGACGTACGTTTTCCTCAGCCTCAAGCACTTTTTACTTTTATTCAACCCGTTTTAAAATATTATTTCCCCTTTTACTCAAGTGCAAAACAAAACTAGTTTAGTCCCCCCTGCAGATCAATGATAAAAACAAAATCCTGATTTAAATAAGGCAACGCTTGTGAACAAGTTGCAAGTTGCAACCTGTTAATATCTGTAACGCATAATCTATTATTAATCGTATTTTAAAATATCATTTTTGAAATTGAGAGCGTCGCATCAACCGGTCTTTCTGCCTGCAAATCTAGTATAACAAAAGACAAACGTGAAATCGCATTAGAATTGGAAATAACTGCGCATAGTTTCATGATGAATCAAACTGAATACTGATGAGTCAACTGTTTACCTCATTTCCTTCTTGAAACATTGCGTTAATATTGGCGTATTTTAACTCCACAGCGTCCCTTTGTTTGCGATGGATTTCATGAATCGCGATGCAGTTATGACCTGGTTTCGTGTGAATGGACGCTAAGCATTTTATGCAAATCAGTTCCTTGCACGTTTCGCAATAAAATTCCGGAATTGCGGTCTCGTGGGGGGTGCAGCGTAACGTGTCGACGACTATTTGCTTTTGATCGTCACGGTTTATGATGTTACTCAGAGACAGCAAATTATGGCCTTTGTTAGCCGGCCATCGTTCGTGTGTCATATGACATTCATGGCAGAAAAGCATGCTGCATTCAACACAAATTGTTAGAACGAATCCCTTACCGCAAAAAGAGCAAACCAAAGGAAAAGCCTCTTCACTACTATTAGAATCGACAGCTGTTAACAGCTTAGCAATACATTCATTATCTGGCAATACGGAGACTGTTTCGTTTGGTTTCAATGTGGTTGTGGTCTTGCAGGTCGGGCAGACTAACTTCTTGCATTCGCCATCGACAATTCCCTCGTCTTGTGTCGTCAGGTTCTCGACACAGGCCTTGCAGAATGAATGAGAGCAAGACAACTTTTTCGGCTCGCTGATAGTCTTTTTACAAATATCACACACGAGAAGATTGTGAATCCCGACGATCGAACGAGAGCTGGTTAAAGAAGCGGCCATAAGATTGTAGAACAACTATATACAGTGACTTCTAACCCACATATATGCGCAGCAGTTTGATAGCAAAAAACATCAAACAAATACACTTCGATTCATACCAATATCGAGAATTGTTTGGCAAAATCTGTGTTGGCTGTCTATAGAACAGCGTTGCTAATTGTAATTCTGTTACATTCCAAGTAAGCCCTCCCCCCCGTCTCAAATATACCGGATTTCCTAAAAAAATCCCGATATTTCCAGTCAACAGTTTGGTGTCCTTTTACAACGGACTAAACTGACTTCTAGGACCGGTTAGAAAGCCGTTTAGTTTAACCCTGGATTAAAGCAAATCTTTAATACCAATTTTTTTAATCGCTTGCTTATAAAGTTGAATATCTTTTCTCATAAAATTAATATTTTCTGGACCGATTGAAGCCATATTTTCTAAAGTTTTAAAACAGTGGTTCAGAAGCACATAAACTAAAACACTAGATTAAAGTTTAACCCAGAGTTAGCGCTAACCTAGCTTTGAACAACTGGCCCTTTTGTACAAACGAAATTTAAGTAATTTAGATATTCAAAATATATTTTATTCAGAATGCTCCGACGAAAACTGCATGATTTTTAGTATAATTGTTTTTTAGTCAATCAAATATTAATTGCAACATCAATGACTTCTAAATCGCGCTGTTTTACATAAAATTTTCATAAGACATAACATTTCAAACATAATTCTTCGAACGTAAAAAAAAAATATTTCATATTATATGTAGCCGATATAATATATATAATGTGTATTGACATAGGCGGCCCAGAACTGATCTCGCTGTCCGCTGACCTCGCGCGACGCTCATGTTGTCTGAACAGTCTTATATTATGACATATTATATGTCATATTATAAGACTGTTCAGACAACATGAGCGTCGCGCGAGGTCAGCGAGATCAGTTCTGGGCCGCCTATGGTATTGACGTAAACACGAAAATAAGATAACAAATAAAAAAGTGAAATGGTTGTCGTGCGACAAGAAATATAAAAAATTCCTCCTGCTATAATAATCCTTTTCATTGTCCATGTTAAAAGTATTATTCTGATTTAATCAACCTGGTGTTTCAGTAAAATACTTCGATTTCTGTGGGTGTGAAGTTGCGACTACCAGCAAACAACGACTGGGTTTGTGGAGTGTTGTATTGATATCCTGCTGGTGGTTGGTATGCGTGACCAAGGTTGCTGCCAGAGTTTTGATTGCTGTTGGCATTGTCGGCGATGTAGAGATCATAACCACCACCAAAGTTTGCTCCATAAGAAGGATTACAGTAGATCGCGTTTCCATTTTTTCCCGTTAATTAACGAGCATTTAAATGGCTGCAGGTTGTTTGGGTTTCGTAATGAAAATAAAAACGATGCGTTGGAAGTTTTATATTCACCTGAACCTAGAAGAAGAAACAAAACAAATTAATGATCAATCCAGCTCTTGTCTCGCGGTCAGCCCAGAGTATTCAGGAGAGGTTTCCAGAGATTGAGTAAGATTTCTTATTTCGACTTTTTACCGGAATTATTTGTGAAAACACGCAATACAAAAGGTTAGAATTAAAGTGTGAAGAATCATATCGAGTGAACCTATACTTATCACTGTCACTATTTATAATAAAAAATAAAATAATTCATCATTTAAGACTAAACTATAAGAAAGCATCTCATCTCGAACTGAAAAGAGAACGATATGAAAACTTACACTGAGATCAAACAAACTTGAACAAACAATATTTCATCATTGCACCAGCACATTTTAAATTGATTAAACAACAATAAAAACGCCTGAGTATTCCTTATACTTGATCGCGAAGCTTTGATTTGAAACACGCGGTTATCATACGCGCACCGAATCTTTACTCGAACTGCATTCAGTTAATGAGTTTTATACAATTTATGGCGTATAACTCAGTTACAAAATTGTCCGACACAAGAAAGATTGGATATGAATGAAATTTCACTGACCATTCCAAATTTGATCAGTGTATCCACCAAAGATCCAGTTTCCAACTTTGACCAAAACTACTGTTCCTGCTTTACCATCACAGAATTGGTGAAACTTCTGGCTCTGCCAACCATGGAGTGATGCTCTGTAACAAAGCCTCAATGGCCATTCTCTGTAGTTAAGGAATCTTAGCAAATGTTTAGCAAGCTCCTTTTCACCTTTCAAAATCATGGTGTTTGGCATCAATGGCAATGGATCAGGTGGAGGAGGTGGTGGAGGACCTGTTTCCAATAAGATAATAGTCAACAAAAGCATTTTCAAGGCGAAGAGAAATATATCTAGGCTACATCGCTACTTACAATTCTCCTCGGCCAATTTCTTGAACATATTACAAAAACAAAGTTTTTCCATACAGGGTTTTGGATTTGCGATTTGTACTTGGAATGTTGTCAAATTTGGCGGCATTTCGTTTCGCAGCTTTTGAATATCAACATCGATAACTTTCTGGGCTGTCAACAATTCTTTAAGCTTCGAATTTTCCAACACATCATTTGTACGCTGAAGCGACTTTTCAACTTTTTCCAGGTAATTTGATATCTTTTCACTTTGAGTGGAAAGGCTTTGACACGCGGGATCGTAGACTTTGTCAACTTCTTGAATTTTCTCCTCCAAAATCTTGTTGATGCGATCTTCAACATCTTTCATTACTTCATCTTTCCGAGCGATGTGTTTTAATTTGATATCTTTCGCTTTCTCCTCGTAAGTTTCCTTGTCGTTTTTCACACTTTCTAATGCCTGGAAAGATAAAAAACTGAATTTAAACTAATCGCAGAATATTTTAACAGTTCTTCTCGACTTGCAGAATTGTAAAACACGAGATGTTTGGGATTTAGATTTAGAAATGATGTGGGCAGAAAATGAAAATTAAAAGCAGGTCGGTTTTGAGCAGATTTTTAAAATATTTTCACCAAATCTTGCATTCGAAACAGCAGGAACTAAGTCTGAGATCGTTTACCAATAATGGTGTGTATTTTTTCACTGCAAAAACCCTGTTAATGGCTATCATTTACATTTAATTTTATTGAAAAAAGCTTAATTGCAAAGCATGACGAAAAGTGATGGCGAATGATAATAAAAGATGACGAAAAAACTGAGTTCGAAAAAAGCTAAACATGCAATCGCGGTACGCTGAGCCTCGCGTGAATTTCACGTGGGAACTGATCAGTGATCACGCATTTCTCTTACCTCGATGAAACGTCAACAATTCTTCTATTGCAATAAGTTATTGGGCGCATGCTATGGCATATTCGTAAAGGCTCGTTTACACTTGCGATTATGCTGCGATTTTATGTTCGATTTTCTTCTTTTGATAGATGTGAACGAGTAATTAGTTACGGATGCTCTGATGTGTACGAGTTCCTATTTGAACATCCGTAACTAATTCAATCGTTCACATCTATCAAAAGAAGAAAATCGCACATAAAATTGCACCCTAAACGGGCCTTAAAGTTAACAAAAAATCATTATAAAGTTATCATTCATTACATTGTCGTCAACAGTATATTTTATGCATTTGAAGATGATGCCGGACACTGTCTTTTGAGTATTTGGACAAAACCGACATTAAAGTCACCATATTGTGCATTAGTTCTGCCTCTGCTAATATGGACAATGATGATGAGGTACTCATGTTTCTGAATTTTTTGCATGTTTTGAATTTTTCGTGTATTTTAAAATGTACAAAAGTTCAAAATGTGAACAAACCTGTTCATTTGTTTACATACAAGTAGCCTCGACCTCCACTTTAAAATTTACACAAATTCGGTAAAAAAGACTTGAACTGCTAACCTTATTTCCTTGTTGTAACATGGCGTCAATCGTCGTGCATTTTGACTTCACAACAGCTTGTTGTTTGAGGAAGATCTCGTGGGTCCCGATACACGCGTGGCCAGGTTTCGTGTGCGCGAAGCCCAGACATGGTTTGTCGCAAATCAATTCATTACAAGTTTCGCAATAAAATGTTGCGGCCGTTTCTGCATGGCGAGTGCATTTTAACTCTTCCGCCCCGATTCTATTTTGCTCATCCCAATTTAAGATTTGATCTATGGGTAGCACTAAATGTTTTTTCAGCTCTTCCCAACTCTCATGAAACATGTAACACTCGTGACACAATAGGTTTTCAGAGCATTCCGGACAAATCAAAATCGAAGGCTTCTTCTTGCATTTACCACAAACTGGAACCGGTTGCTGGTGTCGATTTGGACCGACAGCGGCTAACAAATTAATGATATATTTATCATCTTCTAAAGCAGCGACAGTTTCGTCTGGTTTCAGGGTAGTTTCCTTGCCACAAATTGCCATTGGGCATTTCAATTTCAATTTCAGTTTCAGTTTGCCGTCGCTGTCGACATTTTTTTCTTCATCTTTTGTCGTCAGGTTCTCGACACAGGCCTTGCAGAATGAATGAGAGCAAGACAACTTCTTCGGCTCGCTGATGGTCTTCTTACAAATATCACACACGAGAAGATTGCGGATCTCTTTAATCGAACGAGAGGCGGTTAAAGAAGCAGCCATTAGATTGCAATACAATTTACAATCGTCTAACAGGAGTTAGACGGTTATACCAATAGCGAAGGATAACTTTATAGTTTATTTTGCCAAGCGAAGGCTGCATTCGGCCTTTCGCTGCCAGCGAAGGTTTCTTTCTTTGTTCCGGGTTCTGTCTGAGCACATTCTGAAATTCTATCCTATTGAGCAAAATTCTTACCCATTTCCAGGTATTGTACCCTGCTGTTTACTTGGAATCTACGCGGATACGTGCTAAATACTTTCGATTGTAAAACATAGAGTCTTTATCTTTGTTAAAACCTGATGTGGACGTGAAATTTAGAACTAGTTAACATGTCCGAATCAAATACTTGTCCAGTTTCAAAAAATAACCGAAATCATGGTATTATTTTCATTAAATCATATGACTGAATCAACCACTGCAACTTTCTAAAATCTTTCGGCGATAAGCGTATTAATTAAGACTAAGACTTCGGTCCTTAGAAAAGGAGTGCTGTATCGTATACTGCATATCAACATGAATTTCGTTTCTCTTTCAAGACTTTTATTGTGTGTTGAAGTAGTTGAATTCTCCCAGAAGACAAAAAATGCATAAAGTAAATAATAAGTATATTATCAGTAGAGTGACCGGGTGAAAATGTTCATAGTTTCTTCTGTATGTACATGCATGCATAGTCAGGTATTTTAAATTTTTAACCATGTCTGAAATTCCTTTGCAAATATCAGCAAAAACTGTCCGAAATGACACATTTGTCCCGACGTCTTATTAAAATGCCAGACAGATTACAATATAGTACAGTTATCGTATGACGTATATCGACCAGCAACTAGCTATATAACAGACGAAGATCGCTGGCACAATAATCACGAATATTAGAGATTATACAGAAAAATGTCAGAATCTGATGCACAAAGCCTAGCTGTAACATTCGAAACTTCTATATTTTGTGATTAAAACTTGTTATCAGCCGATAACAGTGATTTTTGTGAGCCGGCGTATTTAGAATTTGGGTTGTGGTTTTTGTTAAATGTTGTGATACTATACTATACAGTAAAATACTATAATATATATAATGTGTATTGACGTAAAGACGAAAATGAGATAACAAATAAAAATGTGAAATGGTTGTCGACCGACAGGAAATGTTGGAAATTCCTCTCGCTATAATAATCCTTTTCATTGGCCATTTCAAAAGCATTATTTTCATTTAATCAACCTGGTGTTTCAGTAAAATACTTCGATTTCTGTGGGTGTGAAGCTGCGACTGCCAGCAAACAACGACTTGGTTTGTGGAGTGTTGTATTGATATCCTGCTGGTGGTTGGTATGTGTAACCAAGGTTGCTGTAAGAGCTTTGATTGCTGTTGGCATTGTTGGCGATGTAGAAATCATGACCTCCACCAAAGGTTGCTCCATAAGAAGGATGACAGTAGATCGCGTTTCCATTTTTTCCGTTAATTAATGAGCATTTAAATGGCTGCAGGTTGTTTGGGTTTCGTAATGAAAATAAAAACGATGCGTTGGAAGTTTTATATTGACCTGAACCTGGGAGAAGAAACAAAACAAATTAATGATCAATCCAGCTCTTGTCTCGCGATCAGCAGCCTAGAGTATTCAGGAGAGGTTTCCAGAGATTGAGTAAGATTTCTTATTTCGACTTTTTGCCGGAATTATTTGTGGAAACGCGCAATACAAAAGGTTAGAATTAAAGTGTGAAGAATTATATCGAGTGAACCTCTACTTATCACTGTCACTATTTATAATAAAAAATGAAATAATTCATCATTTAAGACTAAACTAAAAGAAAGCATCTCTTCTCGAACTGAAAAGAGAACGATATGAAAACTTTTTTATGGTTTGAGCGACATATTTTAAAAACATTCATATAATATGTATCATTATTCATGTAGCATATATTTCTATTTCATCATAGCAAGGTATGGGTACCTTTATGATGGATAGCAAGATATATTGTAATATTGTAACTCTATTGTAATCATTTCACTTAAAGATTGATAGTTATTATTACGTTTATTACTAACTGAGTTCAATAGCGTAGCCAGCCTGTCGATTTGTCCCGCTATGCTAATATCTTAGTGTTCACTGACTGTGAAAACAATAGATTTTTAAAGGCATGAATAAAATTATAATAACTCGAAATTTACATAGCGGGACAAAATCGTCAGGCTGGCTTCGCCGCTGACTGAGTTCCAAATTAATGTGACATTTAAAACAAGGACAGCAAAAATATTACACTGAGATCAAACGAACTTGAACAAACAATATTTCATCATTGCACCAGCACATTTTAAATTGATTAAACAACAATAAAAACGCCTGAGTATTCCTTATTTGATCACGAAGCTTTGATTTGAAACAGGCGGTTATCATATGTGCACTGAATCTTTACTCGAACTGTATTCAGTTACACGAATTTTATACAATTTATGGTGTATAATTCCGTATTGCTTAATTTTTTTAGAAGATTGTATTTAGTTATTACTTCAATATGTCTCAGTTACAAAATTGTTGGTCACAAGAAAGTGAAAAAAAATCATTCGACTGTAGATTGGATATCGAAAGATAAAGTGAATGAAATCTTACCATCCCAAGTTTGATCAGTGTATCCACCAAAGATCCAGTTTCCAACTTTGACCAAAACTACTGTTCCTGTTTTACCATCACACAACTGATGAAACTTCTGGCTCTGCCAACCATGGAGTGATGCTCTGTAACAAAGCTTCAATGGCGATTCTCTGTTGTTAAGGAACCTTAGCAAATGTTTAGCAAGCTCCTTTTCACCTTTCAAAATCATGGTGTTTGGC